TAATACAACAGGGGTGTTGCACTGAATTCTGCCACACATTACACAGGCATATGGATGCTGCAGAGCGTGTTCTCACTTTTTTGTTTTTCCTATTTGTAAACAGCTGTTTAATCATGAAGTTTGGAACTAAAGATAATTGATTGAAAAGCAGAAATAATAGAAAATGTTCACTTTTCATTTTTTATAGGCCACAGTAATTCATACTGTGTCCTAAATCACACTGACAAGGCTGCACCACCTTAATAAAGACCTGAATGTGGTTTGGCTAGTTTGAAAGAAGTTTTGGGGATTTTGTAAGATTTGGGTGACTATTGCCTTCTAGTGTTTGTTAGCAATGCTAGCCCCATAGCTCCAGTTCTAAACTAAAGAAGCAAAATTTGGACACCAAACATGCCTTGGTTGATCGACTAAGTGGAAAACTGTAAATGAGAGTTTGTTCAGTGAATTTTTCTTCAAAGAACCATTTTTGTAAATGATCTATTTGAAAATACCTGAGTGGGACGAACTTTTTCGAAGTTTAAAGAACCACCATATAATATAGAGGTTTTATACCAATCACAATTTGTTGCTCTTTATCCCCAGAAGACCAAGAACCATTTAGGAACCTTCATTTTCACTTTGATGAGTGTTCTCCAAAGTATCTATATCAAGTTACGAGTTTATAAACCCAATATCTTTTGCCTCTCAGCTCAGGAGTGACTCAAATCCCTCGGGTCGCTTTCTGGACACAGATTAAGCCTAGTCTAGCACTACAAAGAACACACTTTAGAAAATAAAATAAAATAAAAGAGGAGCCTTAATCGCTGTGCTCAAACCTGGCTAATGACGTCATGCCAAGTTTGTTCCAACGTAAGCATTACTAGTCCCAAAAAAACAAAGCCTAAAAAAAAGCCTTTACAATGAATGTAGGGCTCCAGGGCAATGACCTACATTACCCCCTCATTGCTTTTGGCGGCAAAGCACAGCAGCCTCCCCTCGCTCTCTTTTATTCATTAGGGGCCATCTCCACATCATCCTGCATACTTCTCCTTACGCAGACGCATCGTCCGAGGCTGGATTCGTTCCTAAATCCCTCCCCAGCTCCACCATTCAGCCCCGTTTCCATGGGGAATAGGAGAGACTATTGTCTTCCGTCTCCACCCTGCGTGGTGCAGGACTCATCTTGGCCCTGGAGCTCCATTCGGGCGTATTTGCTTGACATTTTCCCACTTTGTGAAAAAAGGTTTGTGTTACATAAATTATATGGTGTAAAGGCTGTTGGCACTGGATAAATGCTTCACACTGAAGCCTGGAGGGTTTGTTGGTGGACAGATAAACAAAAGACACTGTAAAGTTATACTATTGCACGGGTCATGTTAGACTTTATGTTTATATATGACCCAAGTAGTTTATAATTATATGAGCAAACGTAATGAATCATGTCTGTACAAGTTAGAGCTTTCAAGCTATATAAAGTATTACTAGCACTTTGTCATAAGGAAAAAATAAATAAACCGTCTAGCCACACTACTGTTCTCTTTGTGTTCCCAGAGAGGAAAATGTGGTTTGTTTGTAAGCTATATGTGCCTTATTCAAATACTAAACTTGACAACTAAACTAACTATACATAAAAATAAAAAGTTTAAGCGCAATTAAAAATAACTGCGTTTACCAGAATAAATTCATATACGCAAAAAACCCAACCTTGGTTTTAATGATAAATGTACTAGTTTTGTAAATTGCAGCATCTTTTCTCTTTTCACACGCAAGATCCATAAAAGTAAGTGTGATATTTTAAAGCAAAAGTACTAAACATCAAAAGTAACCCTAAAAATGCAGCTATTAAAAAGTACTTTTTTCACATTTGAAAAATGTAGTCGCCTTGAGAATTCTGCAGACTTTTCTTAAAATATATTTTGACCCAATTCAGGGCCCATCTAGCAAGACGCCTGTTCCATTTTCATACTGTGTTGTTATTACAGTTCTGCGCAGGCAGGAAATTGAAGTCTGAACCCGACCTGCACTTGCGACTCTGAGAATCGACCAGGTCTGACCTAAACCCGTTTGCACTCACTTACAGATTAATTATCACAGACAGTTTTACAGTGCTTCGCTTTCTTACTTAAGTTGATCTACAAAAAAATTAATTCAAACATTGAGCTTTTGCTGTAGCCGACACTGAACTGGTCCGAGGGAGGACTTAGACGTTGATATTTGATTGTAGCTACACTGTTAGTAATAAAGGTTCTGTGCTGGTACATTTCCTGTTCATAAAGGTGCAAACAATGTAAATGTACCCTCAAAGGTACAACAGTGGTTTTAAGGTCCAGTTGTGTACCTTAAATAAGTTTTTCCAGGTGAAAAGTTCATATTTGTACCTTTTCATAACCAAATGTTTTAAAGCAGAACAATAAAATAAAAGCCTGGAGACGAGACGGGGTGTGTGGAGTCAGTACAGCTTAGAAAATATAATTTTAATGGATTATGGTACAATTATGAAAACATCCCTGACTAATGGTTCTGAGACGTACCCTTGAGGGTCCAACCCCAGTGACAACAGGGGCACTGCCCCAGTGACTGTTTAGTACCTTTTTATTTGAGAGTGTAGTAGCTCCTGTAGAACGACTGCATCCACAATTAACATGCTACTGAAGAGACGACATGCCGGCCTCCTGCTATCACAACTCAAAATACTATTGCAAGCTTTTACACGGTAATCCAGCATGCTTGATATCTGATATAACAAAAAGATTGTAATGTTTATGCAAAGAAGACCCAAATTTGAAACATTTCCCCTTTAGCCAGCTTTCTTGCTTTATTTTGTCCATTGCAAACAGTTAGTTGTACATACTAGACCAGGGGTTGGCAACATGCGGTTCCAGAGCCAAATGTGGCCCTTTTACTGCCCTGTTGTGGCTCCACAGCAGAATTAGATTTCTAAGCAAAAATAAAATAATCCTCCTTCGCAGTAAAATAAAGCTCTGCTGATCATTCAACACAGTTTTAACAATAAATGGTCTTAAATGTTGGAGTTAATGTATAACTGCTAATTCACCCTTAAACCCTGTAGACTGACGTGCAGACAGCTGGTCACCATATCAACGCAGGAAACAATCTCACCAAGTAGCTAACGAAAGGCAAAGAGAGATTTAAGACGAACCTCGATAATTTGGAGATGAACTGACTTATTTGTGTTTATAATCACTCCAGCTGGTTTCCTGATATGTTTAATCTGCAATGAGAAACTGTCAAACACTAAAAAGTCACAAAGCTGAGGTCAGCTTCTCATTCCCCAGCTTCTTGTTCAAATTTTCCCATTCCACCTTAAATGGTGTAGGAGTTACATTCTGCGAACTCAGGCACTATTTAAGGTGGAATGGGAAAAGTTGAACAAGAAGCTGGTGAATGAGAAGCGACTTCAAAGAAGACTTCAACTTCTTTGTAAAAAAATCGCTGAGAGACATTTCACAAGAAACTACTTCACTTTTGCAGAAAGGTTTCCTGCCAGAGATGTTAGAAAAGCAACTATAGCTGAGCTAAAGCTTAAAGCAGAGCAAAGTAAGTCTGCGTTTTTGTCTATATTACATTTTTTAGCCTATACTAGTACATTAGCACACACTGAGACATATTTACAGCCAAAATGGTAAAACATTAATAAAATGGACATAAAATGTGGCTCCCAAGGTGGTTTGCTTTTTGTTGAGAGGACAAAATGGCTCATCTTAACGTTTGGGTTGCCAACCCCTGTACTACAGTATACTCTCCATAATTGAAAGAGAGGGTGTGCAATGTATGTAGGCACGTTCTATGTCAGGCTCAGTTCAGGTAGACAACCTCTGTTGCTATTGTGATGCTACACAGCCGCATCCATACAACAATAAAGCAACTTTTGAAAACCAATATTAGCTTATATTTTTTCTAGTCATCCAAAATCCACTTAGAACATTTGTGTGGGTTTGTGTATGTTTTTACATGACCATTTCCAACCTCCTATTACCCCTTAAACTTAAAACGTTTTTTTTGTTACTGTGCCTTTAAGACTGATATATGACTGCTGTCGGAAACAAAATCTCATTTTTCAGTTTTTAATTTGAAAATGTCTGTTGCCTTTTACGTTGTGTGTAAATGACATGATACATGGACTGAAGGAAAGGGCCCCAAATGACTTAGAAAAAAAGTCTGGTTCCATTGACTTACATTAAAAATAAAGTAGGTTTTTTCTTCCTCCTGTAAAGTTACCATTTTGGAGATACAAGGTTTTGTTCCGACTGCAGCAAAATATAAATGAGCTCTGTTCTGATAGGCTGCCCCGTGTTGCGCCTCAGAAACTCCCCTTAAACTTCAGTGTGAGTGGGCGGGGCTAAACACCTGTAGGCTAGATATGCGGATGTGTTTTGTGACATCACAACAAAGCCATTGAAAAGTGGGCCGTTTTGCTTTAATGGTGTTTACGCACTACACCACACTCTTTCATTCCAACATTAAATGAAACGAGGAAATTTCAGTCTTCTGTGGTATCTGCCCTTTAATGTGCCCTCACTTACATGGACAAAGGTGGACCTTTTATGAGGTCCGCTGAACTTGTGTTTATGAATTCTTTCATGCTACGTTTCCCAAATGTTCCCAGCAGCTGCGCTTTGTTCTAATGAGGCTCTGGAGCAGACTGTTACAAGCCTGGCTTGCATTAGAGTCTAAACCAGGCGACTCCACGGTGTTGTTAACCGTCGAGGAAGTTTTTTTTTAGCGAATGGAAGTGGAAATAAGTCAGTCTATGCACACCTACACACCGTTTCAGTCACAAAAGACGAAGGAACGACGTATGTGAGGTAAAAAAGAGAAAGAGAGAGAGAGAGAAAAGTCCCATATCGTGTCCCCCCGCCTACTCGCTGAGCTCAGCACTCTGCACGGTAGTCTCTCCTCCTCGGCTCCCCCCTCCTTTCAGCCTGAATAAAGGCGGGCCGGCCACATCGCGCTGGCTCACACAAACCGAACCGATGCGTCCGCAGGCCGGACCGTCACTGGAGAACTCTACCGACAGTTCCGGTCACTGGAGCCTGCTGATGGCCGTGAGGAAGCCCGGCCATGGCCGCCCCACCTGCGCCCCGCAGCGCGCATGCTTTCGTCCGGCCCAAGCAAAGGAGATTTCGGTGCTGGGGGGGTTTGCAGTGATAATCTGATTTCTTTTCTTTTTTTTCGGTCGGGTTTGTGTGCGCGTGTGTGTGTGTGAGAGATGTGTGTGATGTGAAGGCGGCGGGATTTAAGCTCTCTTTTGTTCGGGAGAGCGCGGACGTGACGAACTCTTGGCGTTCACGAGCTACCTGGTCTTCTTCTTCTGTGAACCTCGATGCTGCTATGACGTCCTGGCTGCGTAAGAAGTGCAGCATAACCCTCCGGAGCGTGCTGGTCATCCTCACTGCGTCAGCCGTTGCGTCCTATCATTCGGGTGAGTGTGACGAGGGGACTGCACTGCTGAAGCTAACGCTTGCTTGATCCTGGTGGTCCATGTTGATGCTCATCAATTAAAGGGCAGATATGAGCTTGAATTGGTTGCTGTACTTGTCTCACAGAATGCAGACTGCTGGACTGCTGTGCATTTCTGCTGGACAGTGTGATTGATTTGAGGCTATAGCTTGTGCCCCCATTAGAGATGGCACCACTTTTTCTATTGCTGATATTAATGCAACCAGACTGCCAGAGGGCACACCAGGGCATAGTGCTGGGCAATGGGACGATATTTATCGTTATCGTCATATATCACATCACAGCATGCCTTTTTCTGAGCACACTGTAGATGTCGTCAGTACTACACTGACCAGCTACATGTTTTATTACAAATAGAGCATAATTAGGCAGGTTTAACTGGATGTAGCCCAGTGCAGTGTGTGAAACATTCAATAAAGTCATAGTTTTTGGTAACATGTTTTGTTTAAAATGTGACCCTACTTGTTTTTTTTTCTGTTGGCCCCAATTTATCAGAAAAAAGAAATATTGAGAAAATTTTCTTATGATATATTTTTGCCATTTTGCCCACTGGGAGCAGTGGAGCAAGTGCCCTAAAGTCTTTATTGGACCCATCAGATAGATACTAACACCTATGGCTTGTGGATTAACACCAGCTTCCATCAACACTACACAGACGACCCTGACATCCTTCTTATTCTTTACGTATCCATGGTTACCGTTTCCAAAGGGATCCTTCACAACCTGCAGCGCCATATGATTATTGTTATTTATAGCTCTAAAATCACTCAAATAATATATTCAACTGTGCATTTGATCAGAACTTGGATAGCACGTTGCACTGCAAAGGTTCTCAGGAATCCATGACACCTTATTTAAGCAGCGACATTTCAGACAGCTAAATATGACTCAATATGGCTAAATATGATAGGCTAACATTAGATGCTAGCTGTTGGAGTGCTGTGCCTTACAGTAGTAAGTCAAATCATCACTTTCATTTATTGAAAATTTTTTGCACTGGGGCCCGTATTGATCCTAGTTACATCACTGCCAATATCGATATTGAAACCTCGAGTATCGGCTGGTACCGATACCCACCTATATTTTTTTCCTTATGAAACTACTAAGCTTCAAAATGAGCTCATTTTTAATTGAAGCACTTCAAGATGAACATCTGAAAGTAGGTTACTCAAACGCGTACAATGCATATGGTTGTGTGCAAAAGTTTTGGCACCTCTGTGCACATACATATTTTTTCTGTGAACATTGTTAACACTTCCTCAGAGAATACACTTCTGCACATTCAAATGCACAATTAACAATTACTCTTTATTAGCTGAATGTAACCTAGTGGGAAAAACAAAACATAAAATGTGGCCTGTGCAAAAGTTATGGCATGCTTTGTTTTTTGTTTTTTTTACTTTTGTGCTAAATTATGCACTAAAACTTGTAGAGAAACCTGTAGACGAACTTTTTTCACTTCAACAAAACGTAATGTGACCAGGTGTGTTCAAACCTTTGCAGATGACTATAGCTGAAAACATGACATCACACGATGTGAGTGAGTGTTTCATTCTCAGTTTCATTCTACCCCCCAATTTCCAGCGTTTTCTGCTGATGTCAGCCTGATAATCATCTCATTAATCTCAATATGCCATCTATACTCTCCATTCCTGCTTATTGCTTTCCATTACAGCTACAATGATCTGATGCTTTAGCCTGAGCATAACAGGTGCAAGTGTTAACAACAGCTTCCATTCCTCCTCACTGAACTGTGTGCTTTGACCTCCTGAAACCCAGTGTGCCAGGCCGTTTCTCAGGAGGGGGGCATGCGTAATGTTTTTTGGAAACCACAGCAGCTGGAGAAGGGTTCAGAAAAGAAAAGTGACGCTTGCTCCTTATTCATGTGTAAATTGTGTCGCTCTATGTTTCCTTACGCCACAGTGGAGAAGCGTTGTGCGTCACCCTTCGTCTCGACGTGCGGAGAATGCCTGAGCCGTGGCCCGGAATGCGCCTGGTGCTTTCAGAAGGTAATGTGAAGGCTTTGCCGTCAGTTGTTGTTGCATTGTGTTTTGGTGCACAGAGCTCCTGATTATCAAACAGGCTGGGTGTGTTTAGTCTGATTTGCAACGACCCTGAGGAGTCTTGCTGCCCCTAGCCCCCCTCCCTTCCAGCGTTACGCCCATTGGTCCCCTGGTCTCCTGGTCTCCTACATCCACAGGGCCCCTTTAAGCTCCAGCACCCTCTTAAACAAGCTGCTTAGAGCTGGAGTGGCTGTGGGAACCTATAAAACCTCAGGCTGAGAGGTCTACAAACAGAGGCTGCAAAGTCAGGTGCTTTCCCAGCCCACACACAGACCATGACTGCCCTCTTATCTCAAGCTGGGAGATGGGGCTTCACGCTTTGACAGATATTTTGACCTCTTGAGAAGGCCCATGACGAAAGACATACTTCTCTCAGTTCAGAAAGCCAGATGGAGTTTAAGTGGTATGTTTTCTCACTTATTTTTAGTAACCTTTCTACTCCTACACACATCCACTGAATCGATAAAAGAGCTGTTATTTCTTTAATGGAAAGTTTTTGGCAGTGTTTTCCATCATCTATATGTCTGTGTTTTCAAAGAGGGTCATATGTCTTTAAAGTCTGTGCCCATTAATTACATCACTCAGATGATTGTGAAGCAATGCTTTCCCCCCTTTTTATCCACATTTCCAGTTAATCCTCAGTGTTTACATGGCAAATTGTCACTGTTTACATGGCAACATTGAACAGGTCCTTTGTGATCAGTATACACTTCTTCATGTAAATAGACCAAGTGTATGTCCAAAAGTTTGTAGACACCTGATTATCCATTGTTCCTTTGATATTAAGGGTATTAATAGGGAGTTTGTCCTCCACTGCTGTGAAGGCTTTACAGTAGATGTTGGAACATTGCTATGAGGATTTGATTAGTGCACTAGTGAACAGTAATTAGGTCAGGTACTGATGGTGGATGATTAGGATCACAAATATCACTCCAACTCATCCCAGAGATGTTAGGTGGAGCTCCATCACTCCAGAGAACCCAGTTCCACTTCTCCACAGCCCAGTGCTGGTGGGCTTGACACCACTTTCGCTGATGCTTGGCATTGAGCACGGTGACTTTAGGCTCATGTGCAGCTGCTCCAAAGCATCCTATTCTATAGGCAATGCTTTTCTTTGGAGATTATACACGCAAAGTGTGTCAGTGATAGGTGCACCTTAAAATAGTTGAATTCATGTATAGAAAATGGTGTGATAAAGAATGTCTATGCATACGGAGCCCCGCTGTTTACATCCCTTCTTATTAACAATAATGTGTGGCCACAACTTAGTAAGGCAAGAGAACGGGTTCCTAATGTATGGCCTCAGCTTAATAATGACTAGCAGCAAGATTTTTAAGTTGGGGCCACAACTTAGTATGGCAAGACAGTAAAGTTGTAGCCACAGCTTACTAAGGCCTGGGAGCAAGATAATTAAGTTGTAATAGTTAAATTGTGACCACTTAACTACTTAACTCAACTATCTTGTTCCCAAACCTTAGTTACTAATGGCAATAACTATCGCATTCTCAAAGCTTACAAAGTCATGGCCACAAATTAATTATCTTGTTTTCATGCCTTACTAAGCTGTGGCCGGGGCTTAACTATCTCGTTCCCACACCTTACTAGGTCAGGGCCACAACTTGACAAAGCCATGGCCTCAACTTACCTATCTCATTCTTATGCCTTACTAAGTTGTGGCCAGGGCTTAACTTTCTCATTCTCACACCTTACTAGGTCAGGGCCACAACTTGACCAAATCATGGCCACAACTTACCTGTCTCATTCTTATGCCTTACTAAGTTGTGGCAAGAGCTTAACTATCTTGTTCCCACATCTTACTAGGTCAGGGCCACAACTTAACCGAGTCATGGCCACAACTTACCTATCTCATTCTTATGCCTTACTAAGTTGTGGCAAGGGCTTAACTATCTTGTTCCCACATCTTACTAGGTCAGGGCCACAACTTAACCGAGTCATGGCCACAACTTACCCATCTCGTCCTCATGCCTTACTAAGTTGTGGCCAGGGCTTAATTATCTAATTCCCACATCTTACTAGGTCCGGGCCACAACTTAACAAAGTCATGTCCACAACTTAACTATCTTGTTTTAGTTATTCATTGCCACATATTAAGATTATCTTCATATGCCTTAGTAAGTTATTATTTTTAAGTTATTATAATGTCACCAGCGGGGTTTTGTGTCTGATGATTGTTTCCATAGGTGAAGTGTTTAATGTCTGACTCTGGAAAATCACTGCTTACCAATACAGAGGTCTGCCATTTTGAGGTAATTCATGGCACTTCTCTGAAGACACAACTGGCCATGAACTTATTGGGAAAGGACAGCATGTTCTGTCTCTAAGTCACTATGCAGTGTGCCAGCTGGGTCTGGTCACGTGATAATTGAGTGTTCCGCAGTTGTGTTCTGGCACACTCATCATTCCTGTCTGGCAAGTTTTGGGTTGCTTGATTCATAAACATACACACATACATATAACAGGGCGTGAGCTGACCATGACTATGTCAGATTAAAGGGTAAAGTCATGACATGAGACATACAACACTAAGAGACAAGAGCATGACTACCCAACTCTGCTCCTGGAGATCTACCGGCTTACAGAGTTTATTTCCAGACCCAATCTAACACCTGATCCAGTTACTCAAGACCTTCAGCAGAGTCTAAATATTAGAACCAAATGTGCTAGAACTAAACTTCCAGGGTAGTAGATTACCAGGAATGGGATTGAGCATCACTGGACAACTATGTGGGAGCAAAATATGAGAGATAAAAAAAATACAGTACCCCTTTTTGCTGCAGTATCAACCTCTACTCTTCTGTAAAGGCTTTGCAATAGATGTTGGAACATTGCTGTGAGGATTTGATTGAGCATTAGTGAGGTCAGGTGCTGATGTTGATTGATTCGTTCTGGAACACGGTGCTTCAGCTCATCCCAAAGGTATTGGATGGAGCTCCATCACTCCAAAAAACACAGTTCCACTGCTCTACAGACAAATATTGGAAGGTTTATACCCGTCTAGCTGATGTTTGGCATTGGAGGTCTCATTGTGACCTTTAACTTCTACAGCTGCACCACAGAATCCTATTCTAATGGCAATGCTTTCAATAGAGATTATACAGGGAGATTCACTTGAAAGAGGCCCCAAATATTCTATAATTACTCTCATTAGGATGAAGCAATCTGAACAAAACAACATGCAATGTGCTCCTCAGTATATGGAGCTTCAAACAAGCTGGGATGCCGTTGCGTCATAGTGATGTGGTAGGTGCCGGACAGCCATCGCAAGGTTTAACCTCCGTTTGCAACTTCTGGGTGCATACCCCCTTACCCCTTCATGTGTCTGGCAGAAAACGGATATCACTTCAAGCGTTGTATGTAATCAATCAATTTCAAGCAATCAATTCAATCAATTACACATACGTCACATACGTATTTTTTTGGTTCAGATTTCTTCATCCTAACGTGAGTTACAACAGAATATTCGGGGACTCTTTCGAGTGAATCTCCCTGTACAAGCTGTGTACAACTTATTGCTTGTGTCAACAATGAGTGCACCTCATTATTCAACTCAAAACTAATTACTGGGGTGTCTGAAAACTTTTGGACATACAATACATGAGGTTTTGTGATAGTAGAGATACATTCATTAATAATCCTTGACTTTTTGCCTGTCCTAACAGAGGTTTCTGGATGGAGCACATGTAAGCGAAAGATGTGATTCTGCTGCTCAGCTGCTGCTAAAAGGCTGTGGGGAGGAGTTTATAGAGAACCCCAGAGTGAAAGTGGAGGTGAACGCCACCCTGAGCAGCTCACAGGTGGCCCCCAGAGACATCTCTATCCAGCTGCGGCCAGGTAAGGAAGAGGAAACAAAGCAAACACTTCTAACATAATCAGTTTTAGTGTAAATATCTTTCAGTTCTTGCATTTATTCCAGCTGCCCTTTACATTGAGTATAGTGGGAACACTTCATGATGAATTGTCAAATTTGGGAAAACATTAGAGACCGACGTACAATGAAGTTAAAAGGATGGTCTGGCCAACATGAAAAACATAACCGTGGCTACATCTGTTGTAAACATGCCTAATCACATCCTACAGTGGTGCCGTGGTAGTTTCCAGAGTGAGATTTTCATGTTTAAAGACTAGGGAAACCTCTTTCTGATGAATCTGGGTGCAGATGGAGGAACTTATCTTTTTGCAGCTGTATAACTGAAGTAACTGTCTTTAAATCTTCATTACAATGGAAAAAAATGGATTACTCAGCTGACAGATGACATGTCGGATGAGGAGGACAACAAGCAAAAAACTAAAGCTAGCATGTTAGCTGGCTATATAGACACCTTACCTCAGTTTGGCCTCTTTTCTCTGACAGAAAGGATAAAAAGCTTGTTTCTGGTGTCCTTTTTGTTCGGAATTAAGTTAGAATTGCTGTTTTCTTAACAATTTTGTTCAACGACTGAGGTAAATGCCACACTGTAGTAACCGTCTTCAAATTTTCATTATAATGGAGAGAATGTCTTATTCATTTGACAGAAATGACTCATCAGATAAGGAGTACAACAAGCTAAATGCTAAAGTTAGCAAGGACTCTGGCTACCTAGATACATTACCTCAGTTTTGCTTCTTTTCCTTGGCTTAATGTGGAAAATACTTGTCTCTGGTGTTATTTTTGTTTGGAATTACTGTTTTTTTTACAGTTTTGTTCAACGACTGAGGTAAATGCTACATAATGCTGTATAACTGAAGCAGCTGTCTTCAGATTTTCATTACAATGGAGAAAATGGATTATTCAGTTGACAGAAATGGCTCGCCAGATGAGGAGGACAACAAGCTAAAAGCTAAAATTAGCAAGGACTCTGGCTACATAGATACATTACCTCAGTTTTGCTTCTTTTCTCTGGCTGAATGTGTGAAATACTTGACTCTGGTGACCTTTTTGTTCAGAATAAAGATGGAGTCGCTGTTTTCTTTACGATTTTGTTTGAGAAGCCAAGTAAGAGTTACGTTACTAAGGCTTATTAGCATGGTTGTATTTATTAACCAGCAGATTAGGGGTTAGCAGTCAGGATTGTTTGACACCAAAGGGATCCTCAATGGTTGTATGATGTATTTGTGTAATGCCTGCTGGGTATTATAGTGAGACAGCACTGATGAATGGAATCATTCTTTCTTCTATAAAGTTACAATTTGGGTCATCAGAGGTTTTGTCACTAGAGCAGCCGATGGTATTAGGCTTCTCTTGATCTGTGTCCAAAATTAACAGTGGTGGATGAAGTACACAAATCATGTACTTGAGTTAAAGTAGAGATACCAAAGGTAAAATATTACTCCAGTAAAAGCAGAAGTCCTCCCTTTAGACCTCCACTTGAGTAAAAGATCAAAAGTATTTGCCTTCAAATGTACTTAAGTATTGAAAGTAAAAGTACTAAAAGATTAATTATGACTCTATGACTAATGTCCTATTACTGTTTTAGTAACAAGACAATTGTTTCATTAACTCATTTTAGGTGAGAATACTCCAGTGTCACTCTTGGTGAACCAGTCTTTTAATAGAATGTCATTAATTAGTGATGCTGATGTCTATTAAAATTATCATAAACAGAAAACACTGAAGGCAAACAGTTTCCATTAGGTAGAACCAAGAGGCTCTGAAATCACCTTTTGTGAACAAGCAAAGTTTCAGTTTAAGATTTATTTGCAACTTAGTTACAAGTTTGAGTTTAATAAAAACTTGCTTTAAATTCAGATTCACAAATGAGTTTTCCTTTACTAAACTGCATCTGTAGGTTTCTGTTCATAAACATGAACTAGCAAAAACAAATGTATAAATAAATAAATATGAAATATGTGTTATGTATAATGAAAGTGTATAAATTCAGAAAAAAGACACGCCAGTCACAACTGCATATGTGTACATATTTCTATATTGTGGTCTATTTACACAAAGTTAGCTTAGTTCCATCATTTATGTTGAATAGACACTTCCAAAATTTTACGCTGCTGCACTGACGTTGAACCGTATGCTTGCACTGGGTCGGTATGTCCAACAGGTCAAAACAAGCTCAAAACAAAGTGCGCGCTGTGCCCTGATTGGTGTTCTTGCTTTGCGCTTCTTTCGTTTTGACATGCTACATTTTTATACACACATAAGCCAAAAGGAACAACAGATTTTCCATAATATGTAGTGTAGTGTAGTAAAAATGTGACTTTGAAATGTAGTGGAGTGAAAGTAAAAAGTCACCCAAAATGGAAAAAGTTCAGTAAAGTACAGATACACAAAAAAACTACTTAAGTATAGTAACGAATTACATTTACTTCGTTACTGTCCTAAACTAAGATTAGACTTTTTTAGTTTCCTTTGATAAGTGGCTGGTAATGATGTCATTTCCTGTCTCAGGCAGTGAGGCAAGCTTCATTGTGGAGGTGAAGCAGTTGGAGCGCTATCCTGTGGACCTGTACTACCTGGTGGACGTCTCGGCCTCCATGCAGGACAACCTGGACCGCCTGAAGACTGTTGGAGTGACGCTTTCTCACCGCATGAGGGAGCATTCCAGCGACTTTCGAGTGGGGTTCGGGTCATTCGTGGACAAGCCGGTCTCACCCTACATTGATGTGCACCCTTCTAAAATCATTAACCCTTGCAGGTAAGCCATTGTATGCCATTATGTGAAATCCTTTCAAGATTGTTCACTCTAAAAAGTACGTATAAATACACAGATTAAACAAAGTCTTGAGTAAAATGTTCAGTCATACGTTCCTTGTGGGCAGGACTTGATCTTGTGTCTGAAGACAGACCCATACAGTCACGAATGTTAGCTATGGTGGCATCAAACAACAAATACGATAAAGTAAATCTTTATTTTCTGTAGTTTGTCATGATTAATCACACTTTAAACTGGCATATCTCACATTTTTCTAGTATTTTTCGATTTCGCTTGATGTTCACTTACAATGTTTGTGTGAATTCCAAAAAGAATTCGAAATTCATTTTACATGACCATTTTCAAACCTCTCTCTTTAATAGGGGGCTGATTAAACAGGCTGTTTTTGTTACTGTACCTTTAAGACTGATATATGTAAATACAGCAGGGTTAATTGGCTGCTCTGTATTGTGCCTCATTCCAAAAAGCAGTCTAGGCTGAAACACTCCTTATAACTTCAATGTGAACTGCTGTAGGGTGAATAGGCAGATGTATGAAATCACCAAAACAAAGGATGTTTTTACAGTTTAATTTTCTATATATGGACTGTGTGGAACATACATTCAAAACCTTGAACGTATGTTTTGAAACTATAGTTTGTGCAATTGTATCAAATTCACTCATAATTGCTTAATGTAATTATCAATGCATAATTTGTAATTTTCCCATTTAACAAATGTTGATTTAAAAGCACATATTATTGACATATTTTTAGGGATGCCCAATGATATTAGAATCATCCTCATATCAGCAAAATAAAAAGCAGAATTTTCAGCACAGATGTTTAGATTTAACCAATATTTCAAACTAATGTTTTGTGCTGTATTTATTACACTCTGGAAGAGCAGAATGTGCAGCACTGGGCTACTCCACTAAAATGTCTGCATTTCATTCATGTAACTGCATTAGTAGCCCTGTAATGCTAATCAGGTGAATCAAGACCCAAATTCTACGTCATAAGTGTTACTTGTACTTAAGTGTTACTTAAGTGTTACTTTATAGGCATCAGCAGATACGTACATGAAAACTATCAAATGGCAGCATCCCATTTCCCATAACAATGCATCCATAGTTTTAATTCATGCCTTTGAACTCAAGATTTGCTGCAATGTCTGTGTTAAAAAATGAACAGTTCTTTAAGCTTAGACAGTTAAAACCTACTATAGAATTGGTTAAATGGAAACAAATGCAACATGCAGTTCTTTATTTTGTTGTTATAAAGGTGAAGTGACCTTTCCTATGAAAAGAGTTTATCTTCATCTGTGTTTTCCAAATAACCTGGAAAGCAGACATAGATATGTTGTTTTCCTTATAAAAGAGAAGTTCTTGAGAAAACGAAAGGATTAAGATGCAGATGCAAGGTGAGCCAAGGTTCTTTCCCCCACCCTCAGTATACAGGGGTGTGATTGGTTAGCTTTAAACAAAGACAGCCTTTTTGTGTACTAAGCTAGAAATCTGTCTCACTTCTGATGGAAGTGAGGCAGAGTGAGGTGGTCATTGATCTCACAGTAACCATGTGTGTGTCCTCACATTATGTGTGGTCTAACCTTGGTATTATAGATAGATATATTAGTAATACTCTTCTGTTAGTTCTGTCAATACCATTTTTTGCTGCTGTCTTCATTTGTCCCTGTGCATAGACAAGCCAATTGCATTCAGTGCTGGATTTTGACCATTGTGACAAGGTAGTGGGCGATAAACCAGTTTGTCTGGTATACCAGTTTCAGTTCTTTTTAAGGTAATACCAGTATGCAAGTAAATGCATATGATGTGAAGTACAAACAGTGCAACATGCGCTGATCCCCACTTCTTGTGTAGTGAGTTGCAGCTAGTCCAGTTTATGGTCAAAGGAGCACACATCAGATTATAGTGAGTTAATGAGTTAACAGGGAAAAGAAAGTGGAAGGAAAAGCCAGTCTCTTGGGGTGAGCTATTAGCTGTTATCTTAGCATGGAGACTAGCCGGCTTTCCGTATGCATCACCTATAGCACTCCCCACTCCTCAAAACTGATGGTGTGAATGGCTTATAATATTTACTAAATTCCAGCAGTGTCTGACAGTCGTACATTCAAGCTTGAGTGTAACAGAGGTGCATATGAGACAAATGGCTTTCAAACGTGAAACACCATTCCGAATAGTTTTTGCTACACTTTTGCCTGTTAGAAAGTAGTATTAACATCTGTTCAAATATTTTTAATTTCTGTTTTTAATATTTTGCCCGATAAAAACATTTTAGATTTACTTTGGCCGTTAAATATGGTTCTTTTTAAAGGTGAAGAGACATCCAGAATAATACAATAAAAGCTTTATGTAAGCATCCAAATTGCTTTTATTTGAAAAAATATACATAAATACTGCTAATGTGACATGAATTATTAACATTCTGAGCCATTTAACCTCTTAAAATCCCTACTTTTTCTACACCCCAAGGCTTATTGTTCAGTAACTACATGGAAAACAATGCAAACTGATTAAGTAACTCCAAGGCATTTAAGGAGTGAGATCATTATGAATAAGCCTGTTAACAGTTTAGGTCCAGTACTCCTGTTATTAAGTGGAATTAGAGACACATTGGTTATATATAACTTAAGTACAAGTAGAAATGCTCTAAATGAGTTGAAGCATGAAAGTTTGCTTTTAAGTGTACTTAAGTAAATGTAAATGTAGGTTATTCTGGCTATTTTATATACAATATTTTGATGAACAAACAGAGATAAAAAAAAAGAAACAGGCGAATGCTCCAGTTTATTAAAAACCGGTATTAATCAGAAACAAATTACATTTGCATATTTCAAAATAACAGTACTGCTTTTGTTGCTTATGCATCCTGGGAAAGATCAATGGTCAGTTCACAAAATAGTGCTTTCCCAGCACAAATGAAGCACAACACCATAGAAAAGAGCAGACACCCACACAGCACAGCCATAGCTAGCTTTCTATGTTCTGTATGGGTGCAACAGGTCAAGCAGATCATTCAGCTGACCATTCTCTCGCTGTTTCTCAGCTATTGAGCAACTAAGGCAATGAAATCCCTATAGATGACGATTTAGCTTGTGGAATTCTTAGTTCTTTCGATCTAACCTTGGATACATCCAAATTTTCAGAAAGGAGTAGACAAAAAGATGTCCAGTGTGCATTTGAAGACTGCATACAAAACACTGAAATATTGTGGCAGCCTAAAAGGATAAAGATGAAATGCACAGATATCAGTCAGAAAAGGAGTAGCCTCATTGTACAGCAGTTAGCTAATCTAGCCTTAGAACGGTTGTGCCTGTGTTGTGTGATTTTTGAGGGGTGACGTGGCCTTGCACACTGTTTAATCCACATCCTACACCTCTCCTCTTGCGTCTTCAGTTCAGGAAATGGTTCATATTTCACTCGGCCCTCCAAACTCTTAGAATATCAGCAGGCACACCATTTAAAAACCTCCCACACACCATCGCCATATTGTTAAAGAGGATTTTTTCATAATTTCTGAATAACTAAATTGCTAAGATGCAAACAAAGTCATTCAGAGTGTTCTGAAGTGAAATGCTCTGCTCTAGAGAAACTTTGAGTCAGAATCATTCACAGTGGTGGTGATGGGATCCAGACTTCCTCCTCTGAAAGTTTCCTCACAAAAAATTATCATCAAATGAAATGTTTACTAATGCAATGCCTGATGTGTAAATGATAGTTTTGCTATTAGGTTTTGGCTTAAAACATATTGTTTTTACATTTTTTGTGTGTGTGTGGGGTGTTGTAAGGCAAAATGGTAGCCAAAGAAAATGCATTTCTTTCAGATTAAACACTATTTTATTTTTTATATCATCAACATTACTTCAAAATCAGCAGATGCGTGTAGATTCACTGGTCATTAAATGAAACAGCTGTGTTTGTGTTGTAGACATTGTGACTTCTGGTTTCTATCACCACCACTGTAAAGAAATCAGTGTCGGTCAGTTTATCTACTGAACCATTTCACATCAAACCACTGAAAATGAAGAAATTTGGAAGAATCGATGGAATTCTCCTTTAAATCTTGAGGTTCCCAGACCTAGTTACGGTTGCTAATGTGTGATTAGACGATTTTGGCGAGAGGTTTAGTAAAAGGTGTTATGATTGGTTTGCTTCAGTTTGAAAGTGCATTATATTTTTTGGATATTTAAAAAAATCCAGTTTCACTCATTTTAGAGCAGGGGTGTCAAACTCAACCAATAAAAACGCCATATTAAAAAACCTCAATAAACTTGTGGGCCAGAGAACAACTATGGTTTATTTCATTTTTAATGAACATTTTGCTTTAAACTGAACATTGTTTATTCAAAATACGCAAAAACTTCAACAGTAAAATATGGGCACTTGTATTAGACCTTGAAATATTACATGAATACTTGAAATATTCAAAATTTAAATGTCCCCAGGTGCTTGGTCTTTTAAACCTGCCTATTTGCTTGAACTAGACACCTGGCATCTTTTCTTTGCTGCAAGTTAATTAACACTTGGGCTAAATCTCTGAGCTGCTGAGCTAATGTTAAATGCTTTTATTGGCTGAACTGTAGTGCGTTTGGTGATATGACTGGTGTGGAATTGTGTAGAAGTGTGTTGAACTGACATGTAACCGTTGTCCCATAGATTGTTTTTGGAGTAGGATAGTCTGAGTGCACATTATGTCGCAGTGCATGCTGGGGACTGTAGTACAGTGCATTGTGAAACGAGCTACTATCAATAGAAAATTAAAATACATATAGCTACATATATACATATAGAGTAACATATAGCGACACATTTGCGTGAAAAAAAGGTGAAAAAGTGAGGTATTTTACTTTGAAATCTAAAGAAAGTAAAAGTGTCATAAAACGGAAAGATACAGATACTCAAAACAGAGTTAGTACAGTAACAAAATACATTACTATCCAGCACCTCTTACATCTAATACAGAAGTCATCTTAGCTCATAAATCTTAACTGACTGAAACTAAATTACATAAGAACTGGACTTTGTAAGGTGGCCGACTTGCGAAGGCTAATCCTTCAGAAATGAACAGCTTACTTTTTAACCATGTACAATGACCTCTTTGTCAAATGCAACAAAGAGGAAACAAGGCTGAGAACCAGGCGTGTTTTAGGCATTTTGGAAAAGCCAGTTTTTGTTAGTGAGCTTTTGTCAGCATTTTTTAGAGTGATGTCTAATACTGACTGTTATAGCGGGTGACTAATGAGTATCTTATCACATGAATAATCCACTTTAACCACACAACCGCAAATGCAGACAGAAAAGTTCCAAATAAAGACAAAACAAATCAATATTTATATGAAATAGATATTTATATGGTTCGTTATTTATTTATACATTTTCTGAATAATCACATACGCTAAGGCTCCAAGTGGTTTTTTGGAGCGATGCAGAAAGATGTCACCGCTCGGTTGACTAACCCTGTGAACTGGCTGAAGTAGGCCGGGGAACACCAGCACATTCCAGGGTGATCTCATTCACTGTAATGTGGGAATTTGCTCCAGAGAGGCTCATGTAATCTCTATTCCCTTTATAGCCTTCGTTTCTCTCTTTGTTTATGTCCTTTTGTCCTCCTCTATTTCCCTTTTTCTCTGCTTCTCTCTTTGTCTCTCCCCTCTCTCTTTGTCTTTCTCTCCCTCTCTCTCCCCCTCTACTGTTTCCCTGCCTTCTTCCCTTCTGTTTTTTTTTTCTTTTTTTCTCTTTCTCTCTCCCCTTCTCCATCACTCTTTCTTTTCTCTCTCCCTATCCTTTCTTTACTCTTTCATCTCCCTCTCTCTCACTCACTCTATCTTTCTTCCTTGCTTTATTTTTCTGTCTGTAACTCTCTCTCCCCTTTCTTTCCTCTTTCTTTTTAATTTGATCTTTTTCCTCATCTATCTTTCTTCCCACTTTCTACTTTCATCTCTTTCCTCATCTCTATTTCTTCCATCATGTCTCTCTCTCTTTCTCTCTCCCTCTTCCTTCTTTCATCTTTTTCTCTTTTTCTGCGTCTCTCCAACCCTCATTTTCTCTCCCCTCTCTACCACTTTCTTCTCTCCCCCTCTTTCTTCCCTCCTCCATCTCTTTTCTCTCTCTCTCTCTCTCTCTCTCTCTCTCTGTTTTCTGCCTCTTATTGTTTTTCTTTCTCTCTCATTTTCTTCTCTCCCCTCTTTCTTCCCTCTTTTATCTTTTTCTTTTTCTCTTCTTTCTTTCTTTCTTTCTTTCCCTTTTTCTCTCTCACTCTCTTTCTCTCTCTCTCTTTGTAGTGATTATGAGGTTCATTGCCGACCAGCTCACGGCTTCATCCACGTCCTTCCTGTGACGGAGAACATGACAGATTTTAAGCAGGTGATCCAGCAGCAGAAGATCTCCGGTAACATGGACACGCCGGAGGGGGGCTTCGATGCCATGCTGCAGGCAGCCGTGTGTCAGGTGAACACATGAGTGTGACTTCAGTGACCTGTGACACTGTTGTACCATCACTGCCCTCTCATTTCTTTGTTTCTCTGCAGTATCTGTCACAGGGGAGCCCAAACTTTTTGTCCTTGGGGGCCAAAGTGTAATGTCCGTGGTGGGCCGAGGGCCAAAAAAACAAGCTTTGGAAATGTGTTTTATAACATTACACAATATTTTATTAGTAAATGCTTCAAAACACAATTTTAAAAAGAAAATAAGAGTTTAATAAGTTATATATAAAGTATGAAAATATCTTAGATATCTCTCATTGGGTGAGGGGGTGAGGTATAACTTCCTGTCAGGCCATGTCAAATGTCCTTACAGGCCACACATTGGGCAAAGACTCTCTGTGATACGTCTGATGAACAGTTCACTAAAAAATCTTCACCTTAACCTAAATGTAGTTAATCAGAGTTACCTTGTTTAGTTTTGCACTTCAGCCACGAGGCTAATGTAGCTAACAAGTAACGGAAGCTTACCAATTAGCATTGTGTACACAGCATGCCTAAGTCACCCCTCACTTGCTTCAAACTGCATCGAGTTGTTTAGTAATGTCATCTACACTGGCTTAAGTGGCTTTTACTCTGTGGTTTACTGTTTATTTCTAAAAATGGACAAAAGTACAGACAAAGTCCAGGCTTCAGGCTACTACTGTTTTGGGGTATGTGGTGTTCTTTTATCTATCTTTATATTCATTCCTTAGAAAGTCCACCAGCCTGGCTCCTCTGGTTTGTGAAGAAGTTCATATCAACACAAGTTCAAAAGCATTTCTGGATGCCTCAAGTGTGTGGGATTCCATTCAGAATCCTACACAGTCATGCTGTGGTTGGCCGGACTGGAGGGGTCAGTCTTCTGGCCGCCCAGTTAACCCTCTAGTCTTGGGCCAAATTGCATGATTAATGCAGATTTTTCATCGGTAATCCTTTTCAGGCTGGGACCAGAAATCCAACCCAAAGAGAGCGTTTGCAATCTGGCCTTTTATTGTGGTTCAGATTGGTCATGGTTTAAACCTAGAGTCCTACACTGGAGTCTCTCTGCTAAAAGGTAATGGGCCATAAAATGTGCAGCACAGTAAATAGAACCTATTCATAAAGTCACTTTTGGCAAGAGCCAATTAAAATGAGCATGTAAATAGGCATGAGTCATACATATTACACATAAGGCCTGCCATTAAGCTCCTCTTGGCTGCCAAAATGGATATGATGAAAGATACAAAAATAAAGTAACAAAACAAAACCAAAATTCTCGGAAACAGAGCTATGAATTTTAATAGAAGAAGGGCTGGCAGATAAGAGTAAGTTGTTTGGTGAATATGGTTTTAACCTGTAATCATTAAACAAAGTTTCTTTATCATAAACTATTTTTTTCTGTTGACACTAGAAAAAAATGACATATAAAAAATCCATTTCTCATTAGTAAGAATTTAAGCCTTTTTTAAAATTCAATATAATTGCAGTAACCATTTTTACATGAATCACATGACATAACAGGGTTATTTTTTCCACAGAATTAAAAATTAAATTGACCTACTGAAATTCTAATTACTATACAATATTACAATATTAAATTTTGACTAGAAAAACTTATATTGCTTTATAAAATCAATCATAAATTGAAAAAAGGGAATGAAAGCTAAAATTTAATCACTACAGTCACTTGTAAATTCAGGAGAAGTGCAGCAGAGCCTCACATCACACAAGCGGCAAAACATGCCAGTTATCCTCATTTGTGAATGAGCAGCATGTTGCCATGATGCTATTTGCTCTTAACGTCACAATAAATCTGGCTGTGCATTTTATGAGTCTGGCCCATAGTTGGGGATGAAGCCTAACTCAGGATTAGTCTCATGCTGCTTTTACCTGTTGCAGTTGAGAAAAGTCATTCAGTATGTCATGGATGTGACCAACAGCGGCGTGCAGCCGTAAAAGTGTTGCCATGGTGACAGTGAAGTCCCTAGTTAATACCAGTTAGTTTTAAAATATCCTTTTACTGAATTTAGTTGCACCACAAATCCTTAAGTCATGTATTCATCGCATGACAATATATTTAATATGTTCAATGTTCAGAACCAAACTATAAACGTGCTACCATGGAAACGTGACGGCAGCTTGTGGTGACTTTTTCCATTCCATTAATTCTTTAATATTTCCTTCCAACAATCAAACAACAACAATCACCCAATCTTAATTAATTTTAATTCTTTAATATTTCCTTCCAACAAACAACAACAATCAAACAATCTTAATTAATATTAATTCTTTAATATTTCCTTCCAACAATCAAACAACAACAATCAACCAATCTTAATTAATATTAATTCTGTCATATTTCCTGATGGAACACTCCACTGACTGTTGTGGTACGCTGCACTTTGACACTGATGGTTTCTGAATTCTCACCGCTTCATTGAAATATATGAAACATTTGGCTTGCCGTTGATAATTTACCGTCATAATGTAAACACAGTGAATCTTTCTCCATAAACAAGCTTTTTTAAATCTTAAAGCAGTGGTTTGGCCTATAAATCTAATTTATAATGTTTCTTTTACCTCAGGACATGTTTGGTGTCCAATTTCCTCAGTTTTGCACAGAAGCTATGCGGCTAATGTAGCTAGCAAGCACCACCAGGTTAGCATTGTGTAAACTGCACATCACACAGTCAGCTTTTGTCGATGATTACTTGACAACCTGACATGGTTTGAGGCGTGTATGTGATGATTTAGGCATTCCTTTTGCACAATGCAGACCTAAAAGATATATGCTAGATGTTACTTGTTAGCTACATTAGCCTTGTAGCTCCAGTGCAAAACTAAAGAAGCAAACAGACACCAAATATATCTTGGATGATGGACTACATTTGGTGAAAGGGGATTGGGGGGAAATGGGGAAAGTCTTAAAATCTGATTTTCAGCCAAATGTGAATGACTATCTTTAGACCACAGTCACTGCACAAGCTCGTGAGCAATGCATGGGAATTGAAGTTGATTTGCCCTCCACCTTAGAGAATGTAAGTAGAAGCAGCCCCTTCGTCAAGCATGCTGGGGGTCTGAGTCATTCTGTGTCACTCACACTGGCATTGCTTTTTACTGACATCATGAGTAAGGCCCAGGAGGCCTATGCCAGCTTTTTTTAAACTTCACATGCAAAGTGTGGGGTCTGATTCACAGCAATGAATCGGGGAGTAAGTAATTACTAGTAGGCTGACTAGGTTTATAGCAGCAGAGTCGTCTTTTTGTATCAGCCTCTTTGTTTTTTCCGTGAATCATTGCATACTGCTGCTGTCTAATTTGTTACAACCCTTTCAGACACGACCTTGAAGCAGCAGCAGGGTGGATCATTTACTATCTCACTTTGCCACAGCGGAACGGAAAGTGGAACCAAACTACGATTAATGAAATACTTGTATTAGCGGGCCAGTCTGAGAATAAATAACAAAAACCGTAGTTAATACTGGACTCTTGTTGTCTTCCTTTCTCTTTCTGTTTGCTCGGTTATGTGCAATGGCCTGGTCTCGAAACAGAGATCGTCAAGCCAGCATTTAATAGGAAATAGAAAAGCTGCACGCAGATCGGATCGCTGCATGCCTGCCAGGGGTTCCCACGTGTTTCTAAAAGCAGCGCTTAGTTTTTCAGCTTAATTATAGTGCTTGTGCTGAATGCTGTTGAGTGAGGCCATACGATCTGCACAAGGCTGCTAGATCTTCCGCTGATATGATCCTTGTTTGTGAGCATAAACTCTAAACCAAACCATTATTGTAATCCTAACCAGAAACCCAGTTGTTAACCCTGACCTCACACATGGTCAGATATGTTTGAGAGTATTTGCCCCAAGGCCCACACAGACTTTCACCATATTTTCAGTACACTGAGAAATGTTTCACTAAGCATAGTTTTAGTTCAACACAAAATCTGTTTGTTACTGTTAACGAACTACTATATATTCAACATATTTACATGTTTTTCCCCTTTGCTTCAAGTGTATTCGATCCAGACATGTTTGGTGTCTGAAGTTTGTTTTCTTTAGTTTTGCATTGGAACTATAAGGCTAATGAAGCTAGTAATAGCAGCTTATGTAGCACAAATGGATATTGTACAAACGGCATATCTACATTGACTTTCTCATGTTGGTTCTGACACTATATGACGTGTTTTTATGATTTTTTTTACAAAACTGGATATATTGTACCTTACAAAGCGTTGGCCAACTTGAAGCCTGAACTTTTGTTCACACTTTTGTCCATTTTTATAGTTAACAGTATGTCATACAGAGAAAGCACATAAGTAAGAAATGAGTTTGGATTAACCATTCCATGCAATGCTTTATGGTGGTCATAATATTAAATAGATTGAACTTAAAACTACTGCAACAAACAACGTCTTGGCTGATTGGTTACATTAGGGGTAATGGGAAAATTGTATACATTTCTTTTTTCGCCAAACTACTGCTTTAAGTAGATTTTACAATCAGGCATCTCTTTTGCAGAAGGACATTGGCTGGCGTCCTGAGGCTAAACACCTCCTTCTGATCATGACCGACCAGCCGTCCCACCTGGCCCTGGACAGCAAACTGGCCGGCATTGTGATGCCCAATGATGGACGCTGTCACCTAGTGGACAACACCTATTCCCAGTCTGCCAACATGGTAAGCCAAGATATTTTTGCCAAGGCTTATTGCTTCACTAAAACAATGAGAATACATAAAATGATAAAATACAGCAAAGTTCAATAAGTAATTTAATTGGTTACTATTAACAATTGCAATAAACAATTCTTCTGCTAAGCAATGTAGTCTGTTAACAGTAGGCTGTGATTGCCAAGCAAAATTACAGCTGTAATGCGAATGAACAATGAGAACTATGGGTTTTTATAACTTGGTAGATTAATCAGATTATAAAATGGTTAGTTCTGGTCTAATCTGATTGGCTGAGCAATGTTTGAAGAAAAACACCAATGAATTGAATTTTGTGTTAATGTGCCATTATGTTGTATTGATAGATGGGACTATCAGCATATGTACAAAGGAAATTACCCAAAACAGTACCAAGCAGTACCAAACATGACCTACATAAGAACTTAGAAACTTCTTTTCTTAACAGATAGAACTAAGCTGATCAACTTTCAGATGGCTAACAGGCTAACAGCCTCCTCTAATAATACCCTGCTGAAAAAACACACTGGTCTAAGCTAGTCTAAGCTGGTCTCTGCTGGTCTAGTGCTGGTTTAGCTGGTCACCCCAGTATGGTCATGCTGTTTGACAAACATACCAGCATCCAAAACACAACATATGTTGTTTTTGCTGGTGATCAGCTATTCTGGTCTGTTCTGTATTCGTTAAGCTTTGAATTAGCATTTATTCAAGGATTCACTGTAAAATTTCATACATACAAAGTAAACAGTGTGTTATGTTAGGCTTCAAAATTAAGGGATCTAAGGGAAATCCAGGCAGCAAAATGAATTTGTGGCACTGTTAGCTTGACGCTAACAAAATACAGGAAGTTAGGTGCATTAGCATAAATTAGCATTATCGTTGCAGTGGTAATTTAGGAAAAAGCTACTTATAAGGTGAAGCGTTTTGCATTAAACACTGCTATATTACAATATGTTCATAATTACCCAATGTAATATTTAATATATGATGTATTATGTATTGTATAAAGATGTAATATTAAACATACAAAGTAAAATGCAATGTACAGTGATGGTCAACTGAACATTCTTGTCCTTATTCTGCAGTCCATGGTTACTTGGCAACAGTAGTGTAGCTAAATGTGTTTTGGAATGAAAGAATTGTTTATTGATTATTGTTAATAACAATGTGTTCATTTTTCATAGTGTATGCTGTAATTTTATGAAAGCAGTAAGCCACTTGAGGCTGTGCTTAAAGGCAACTTCCAGGACTGTTCAATGTCTCTGCATATCACAGCGCACCACTCAGCATTTTGCCAATGCTACATTATAAAATCCGAGGCTGCATTAAATTCTAGGCCACATTAAATCTTACTTTACCTACTAAGGCTTATTATTCAGTAACTGCAAGGACTTCAGTGCAAACTAGTTGAGCTGTTCTTAGGTTATAGAAGTGTGTAATAAAACTTTGGCAGTCCCTGTCCATTTAAGGGGTTAAACCCACAACAAGAACACAGAAAAATATAATAGATGACTCGAAATTTACAGAAAGCCAATCAGTCTGCGCACAAGCATCCAGAGAGTTTTTGTTTTTGTTGTTATTTAACTCCAATTTGTGTCTTTCATGCAAAAGCATGGCCTTGAATGGCTTATTGCTTTAATCCAATTGATGTGTTGGGTATACCACAACAGCTATTTTGCATTTTAAGTATTTTACAGCAGCTTCAAATGTGTCTCAGAGGTTCTAAAATCAGATTTTAGAACCTCTTTATAAAGCAGACCCTACACTGCTGTCAACTATGTTTTTTTTTTGCCATACTGACCATCACAACTGAGCCAGTAGTGCTTTTTGTTTTGTTTTCATTTTGCTCCAATCTCTTGATGTCCTCCAGGAGCACCCGACTGTCGGGCAGCTTGCTGAGAAGCTTCTAGAAAACAGCATTTACTCCATCTTTGCCGTGGATCAGATGCAATATAAGTGGTATGAGGTAATTTCTCTCAAACCAAGATTGCGACTGTCTTTATTAGGCGGCCTTGCTAACTAGGGGCTCAGAACAAGTGCACATATTTATTGCATTTTTCTTTCTTGTGTTTATCCGTCTCCGAACAGGACTTGGTGGATTTTCTTCCAGGCACTTATCTGGGCAAATTACTGCCCAAAGCCTCTAATCTCACAAACTTAGTGGTGGACGCCTATAAGGTAAGCAAACTTTGCCCTTTCTGTTTCACTTTGACTCTGCACACCTCTTTACACAACGGAAACGCTCTGTAAGTACTACTCATTAAACAAGTGCAGAGGTGGTGTCCTTTCATGTGTGTCAAACACTCACCACCCACCCCCCATCCCCCCAGCTGGTGCTTTCCTTTCGGATTCACGTGGAAAGCTGCATATGGGCACCCATAAAGATGCTCAGTGTTTCCCTGTCTGACTCACTGATGCAGCTGAGTCGGAGCGGAAAAACACTGGCTGGGGGAGCTGAGGTGGAAAGCGGGGAATTTGTGCTGTTGGCATTCAGCAAAGCAAGGCCATAATCTGTGCGAAGGCACAAAAATCTATTGTCCTCCTCCCCGAATCTGAAAAACCCGCAGATCCTGCCGAACAGAGACGTGCATTATCAAAGCGCTCAGATTGCCACGGTGACACTCCGCCGTATCCCACACAAACAGCAATAGAAAACCGCTATTTTTAGATCTACTGCTTTTTTTCTCAGAGTAAACCTGCTTAACAAGACTGATTACAGGCTGGAACAATGGAGGCTCTTTGACAATGAATAACGTCTCTCTCTCTCTCTCTCTCTCTCTCTCTCTTTCTCTCTCTCTCTCTCTTTTTCTTTTTCTCTCTGTCCATCTCTCTCTATCTATCTATGTCTCTCTCTTTCTGTATTTCTTTTTCTGTCTCTTTGTTTCTCTCCCCGCATCTCTCTCCTCTCTTCCCCTTTCTCTCTATCTCTCTGTCTCTTTATCTCTCCCACTCTTTTTCTTGCTCTCTTTCTCAATTTCTCTTTCTCTTTCTTTTTTCTCTCTTGCTCTTTATAACTCTCACTCACTCTCTCTACCTTGCTCTCTCTCTGTATCTTTTTCTCTGTCTCTCTGTCTTTCTTAATTTCTCTCTCTCATTCTTTTTCTCCCTCCCCTCCCCTCATCTCTCTCTCTCTCTCTCTCTCTCTCTCTGTCTCTCTCTCTCTCTCTCTCTCTCTCTCTCTGTCTCTCTCTCTCGCTCGCTCTCTCTCTCTCTCTCTCTCCTTCCATCTCTCTCTCTCTCTTTCTGTAGAAACTCCTGTCTGATGTTGGGGTGGAGGTAGGAGTTGAGGACAGTGAGGCTCACAGATTTTGGGTCAATGTGACGCCGATCTGCCCAAACGGATCCAGCATAGCAAGAAATGGCAGATGTTCCAATGTCCAACCCAAACAAACAGTATGTAAAAGTCTTATTACTTACACAGATTTCATGGCTGCATATCGCTGTGGTCAAAAGAAAACCTTGTATCTCCATTTTTGTCAGTTTCAGACATAATTTGAAAATGCCTGTTGTCCTTTGCATGGTTTGTAAATTTCATGATGAATGGACTAAAAGTAGTGGCCCAGTAACAAATATAACCGTTTTATGTACTATCCAGAACGACCAGTGAACCTACACGAGTCTTTATATGTAATGCTGATGATTGTAAAATAGAAAAAAAAAATCTTTGGGTACTGTATTGCTTTAAAAAAAGCTGAATGTACCTCTCTGCTATGAAGAACTTTATAAAAATACGTTTTAAACCAAAACTATAATAAAACAAGGTCCCAGGCATCAGGCAATGCATTCATAACCGTTTCATGGATGCCTGGATCCTATCACCACCAGTGTGAACAATATGTTTCTTAGAATGGCACAAAAGAGAGAGGTTGGTTTTGCACTCCACAAGATATTGTTGGAGTTCCTGGAGCTTTTAACATCCTTCACAGCTCAAGATACAGGCACTGCAAACCTCTTACAAAGGCTTTTGATGGAGAATGTGTAGACGTGCACCTGTGCATGTGTTTATGCACTTGTGTTTCTTTATATGTGTGTGTGTTTGTGAGTTCCAAGGCAAGTTCTCAAAGGAGAACGTTGTGTACTGGAGGAGGTGATTAAACTGGGCTGAGCAGATTATTACAATCCCGTTTTCAGGAAACGACCCGATGCGCTGGAATCACATGACGCTGATGTAACACAAACTCTCACTATGACAAACACGACATTTAATCTGAAACAAAGTGTTTTGCCGCCTTCAGTGTTACAATAGGCTGTTATAGCAGAGTTACAATACGAAGACATTTGAGACCTCTGAGTTCTGAATCGCCCCTTGTGTTCCTCAACTGACAGTCATTCAGATAATTGAAACTTATGAGATAAAACAATCTGAAAGTGACATTTTACAAAGTCATTTTTCAGGGAGAGGCCCTTTCAGTGACTCAGCTCTCTATATTCTTGTTCCCCACCCTCAGTTCTGCAGTAGTTAGTGTTTGCCTGCTCTACCTCACCTGACCATGACATTATAGAACATGGAAAACACCAAAATCCCTAGAATACATGCATTAATGCATAATATATTCATTTGTTATACATAACTCCAAAGCACTACCTTTATCTGTGTCAAACAGAAATCCTGCTTATTTTACATGGCCGGTTTTGAAACAAGTGCTGAGATTATGGACATTAAACGGCCTTTATCATGGCAAACCTACAACCTATCCTCACTTTTTTTAAATGTTGATCTATTATGTAAACTTTTTTGTTCACTCCCCAAGCTGTGTGTATATATATATATATATATATATATATATATATATATATATATATATATATACATGGAAACTTACCTGTAAAAATAGGCTGTTTTGAATTCATTGTTTTTGTGATGAAGAAAACCAACACATTTACATTTGTCTGCCTATTAGGCCTAGAGTAATTTAGCTCCACCCATTAACACCAAAGTTATAAGGAGTGTTTCTGCCTGGACTGCTTTTTGAATGAGTCACAATGCAGGGGCAGCCAGTCAGAACAGAGCTCATTTACATATATCAGCATTAAAAATTAGCATGTTTTTGTTATATTAAAGAAAAATAGCATAGAGGCTGGACGCATGTGCAAGTTGCTTTTCTTACAAAACCAGTACTTAACAAAGTCCAAAAAACTGAATAACCAAAGTGCACAAAAGAAACAAATCCATAAAGTAACAAAAACAGAAACCAGGGAGCAGAAAATAAGGAACAGAGAGAAAATGCAAGACAAAGACTGAACTGAGCATGGGGGTTATAAATACACAAGGAAAACAAGGAACACCTGCGAAAAATAGAGGGCAGGGCTACAGACAGATGAACACAGTTATAAGGGGGCAGGACCAGGGAGGAGACCTAACCAAAACAACAAAAGCACATGGAAAAACAAACAAAAAGCACATGGCTTAAACAGGGACAGACAAAACTGGACAAGATGTTACAACATTGTAAATGGAACTTATAGTGGAACTGGATAAAGAAATAAAATACAAGAAAAATGTAGGATATAAGCCTTTAACGTTCTTTCATTCTTTCATATGTGACAGATTTGTTTTTTATTGCTTCTCCTTTTTTGACAATTCCCATTGTACAATCATGTAGTTAAAAAATGAATACAGTATAAAAGATTGCCCTTAATTACAGGCTATACAAACAGAACATCAGCAACTGTGCTAATTATACATATGCATACTTTATAGATCATTTGAAAAGATTATAACATAAATTGTGGCAAAGAATGCTGGAGAATATGTAAATGAACCAAAGAAACTGTGCGTAAGATCAACTCTCTTGTATAGAGTAAAATGGATGAAAATGCACGCTATGAAGCTCTGTAACACTCACACGTGACTAAATTTGGATCACAATGATATTGTTTATCATGTTTATTCAGATGATAATCATATGTCTAAATTTACTGTATCATCCAAACTTAATGTACATACATCGGTCATTTTATTAGGTACACCTATCAAAAAGTGCACTTTGTAGGTTTACAGTTTCAGACTGTAACTCATCTGTAGCTGCACAGTTTGTTAGCCCCCCCTCAATGGAATGGGACCACCCTAGGACCACCACTGACCAGATGTTATTTGGGTGGTGGGTCATTCTCAGCACAGCAGTGACACTTTAATGGTAGTGTGTGCGGTACTGGCATTTGGGAGTTTAACACGTTCAGTGTCATACTAGGTTGAGTGTGGTCCACCTCTCAAAAATACACAAGAGTGGCTCTGTGGTCAGAAGCTGACCGCTGATGAAGGGCTAGAAGAGGGCTAACATAAACTGTGCATCAGCAGACGAGCAACAGTCTCTGATGTTTTCTATGGGGCAGTACCGCACAGTCATCAGTCCGAGTCATAGCACAACCGAAGTGTGAAAGTTGGCTCTCTTTGGCTGGTATGATTTCTTCAAGCTCTGATGGACGTTGTACTTTCCATTTGGTTTTATGTGAGACAGGAATTCTGGCTAGTTAGTGGATTTTTTTTTTGCTTTTTTTATTGGGGTCATCTAATTCCAGTGAGGATTCCGTGACAAGTGGGTTTGACCAATCAGAATACATTCTGGCTCTGCTCTCCTGGTACCCCAGCAAGAAGAGTAGCTAAATTCAGCACAGGGCACTCAGATATAGTACAGCTCATTTGGCAGTAGAAAGGATGACAAAATGCATGATCAAGGGTTTATAACTGTACCATAAAGCCAAGCCCAGTGCAAGGTGGAGCTACAAGAAAGGGGGTTTCTAATAAAGTGGCCAGTAAATAGATTTTTGTTTTATGTTCTCACCATGAATGGCTTGGCAGTAATATGAAGTACTTCTGATCTGTTACTGTTTCTCTTCTCTAACTCACATGAGTCTGACTCATGAGTCAAATCACGTTTGTTACAACATGTGAAACCACCAGGCTGGACTGTGCAGGGGTTCTCCAGAAGTGTGACTGGAAAATGCTTTGTATAAACTGATTGTGCTGCACTTCCTTCAGAAAGATTCCACACTTATCTGATCTGCCCCTCTCCAAGGTCTTCTTCAACATCACAGTGGGAATGCGGTCATGTCCGGCGGAGGGCCTGCAGAAAGGGAAGGAGGTTCTCGTGGTGGTGAAGCCTGTGGGCTTTAATGAGTCGGTGACCGTGCGTGTCCAGCAGGCCTGTGGTTGTAGCTGTGGTGAGGCAGGACTCTGCCATGAGGATCCAGAACATACCATCTGCACACCTGGTAGAGAATGGCATTTCAGCTGTTTTGTTATTTTAATAGACTATGCACTTTTACACATTCTTTAAACTGTTAAGCTGTAGAATACAATGAAGAAAAGGGGCCTCTGGTTGGTGTGATAGTCTGAGAGTTGGCTTGAAGTCTGGTGGGCAGGATGACCCTTTGTCTCCCCCATTAATCACTAGGAGAATTAGGTTAAAAGAAGAAATGTGTTCGTTTAATGCATGCAGCTAGAATTAGAGGTCATCTGTAGCTACAGTTGTATGCAGACATTAAACACTTCTGGTCAAATTACTTATTTTGTTGACTTTGTAAGTGAAAATAGGTTTACACATCCTCTACAGGGAACTTAAACATGACGTCTTTCTACACTTTTTAGTGTAGAATATAAAAAATAAAATGCACCATAGCTTTTGCAAATAAGGCAAGGCAAGTTTATTCATATAGCACCTTTCACACAACACTTACACTGCTGTCATTCAAAGTGCTGTACAAATGAGAAAATACAGAGTCGTTTAAAAAAGTAGAGGAAAGGGAATAGAAATTAAAAACATGAATAAAACATAATCAAAAAGCAATAGATTTAAAAGAGAAAATCGTTCAATTAAAAATTCAATTAGAAATTAAATTAGGATAGTTAAAAATTAATCAAATTAATAAGGTGCCGTTACAGAGGAGAAGGGCTAGAAACACTAACAGTGTTTTAAATGGAGCTGAAAGCTGCTCAGATAGGAACACTTTAACCCCGGATTTAAAAGTGTCCAGTGTCGGGGCTCTTTTAATGCTCTTTGTCAACTGGTTCCTTTTAAGAGCAGCATAGTAGCTAAACGCTGCTTCTCCATGTTTAGTCTTCACCTTCGGCAGGACTGACTGACTAGTTCCTAATGATCAGAGAGTTCTGTTCAAATCATATCGCTGCAAAATAAATATGCTGGTCCTGCACCACTGAGCGATTTATAGACCAGTAATAGTATCTTAAGTCTATTCTGTAACTTAAATAAACAGCAATTGTGCAGAAAAATAACAGATTTAAGTTCGTTCCCTGTAGAGAAAGTGTTACATTATTACAACTTTTTACACACAACTGCAATAAAATATTGCAGTAATCAAACAAATGCTAAAATGAGGTTGAATATCCATTTATTTGAATAACCACGCCCATCCCTAGTTCCTGCAGCCAGTCCTGTGGCCGAGCGGAGGGTGATGAACAGCTGTCGAGAGGAAAGCAGTGGCCTGGTGTGCAGCGGCAGGGGAGCCTGTGTGTGTGGGGCATGTGTATGTGACGAAAGCAAACTCGGGACCATCTACGGAAGATTCTGCGAGAAGGACGACTTCTCATGCCCTTATGACAGGGGTGTAGTGTGTGGAGGTACTAATATAATATAAATCATTTAGAATTTGTTGTTATTTTATATTGATATAATATAAATACCAAAGCTGCACAGTCTCAGCTAAAATCAGCACTTATTACTGTAATGAGTAAGGAGATAAATCTAATAATCAAATATTAATTAAATTCTTTTGGTGCAGTGAATATGCAAAGAATGCACAAATGTGACTTCAATATAGATTGTTTATTTATAGCATTCTTCTTTGCTTTTTAGCAACAATTTGAGCACATGCTTTATTGAATATTGTTATAACTGATTGTAATCAACATTCCACAATCAATGCAGTTGAATTGCCACCCTCAGGCTAATGCACTGGTGCATTTTTACGGCCCCTGTGCTGATTACTATTGGACAAATCAGCATTACCTCCCATCAATGAATAATACATGCAAAGAGCTACACAGCATAGAATGTATAAAAAAGATGCCCTATAAAGCTGTTGTTCACTCATTGAGCGCTTCATTATGACCAACTCCTTGTTTCTACACTCATTGTCCATTTTATCAGCTCCACTTACTATATAGGTGCACTTTGTAGTTCTACAGTTACAGACTGTAGTCCATCTGTTTCTCTGCATACTTTGTTAGCCCCCTTTTACCCTATTCTTCAGTGGTCAGGCCCCCATGGACCCTCACAGAGCAGGTACTATTTGAGTGGTGGATCATTCTCAGCACTGCAGTGACATTGACATAGTAGTGGTGTGTTAGTGTGTGTTGTGCTGGTACGAGTGGATCAGACACAGCAGTGCTGCTGAAGTACTGCTCTGCAGGGGTCCTGTGGGGTCCTGACCATTGAAGAACAGGGTAAAAGGAGGCTAACAAAGTATGCAGAGAAACAGATGGACTACAGTCTGTAACTGTAGAACTACAAAGTGCTCCTATATAGTAAGTGGAGCTGATGAATGTAGATACAAGGAGGTGTTCCTAATAATGTGCTCAGTGAGTGTATGTCACAATGACAAAATGAGAAGTGAAAAATGATAAATAAAATGGTTTGCCTCTGACTGGATGTGCTGTATAAACAGAAATCTAATTAATCTCTCCATTAAGCAAATAATACGAAATTACGAACACACCATTGACTACTGTGCAAAATAAAAATAACAGAACTGCAAGTAGCTATTACTGTTTAATACATCTTTCATACACGTAGACTGAAAATATTGATCACATTTTGAGCATTTTTAGACTAGTAGTTCAGGATAAAGTAATTGTTGAGCTAGATTTTGCTGGATTTTAGATGAACGTTCTCTACATGAAGGAGCACTTTTCAAGCACTTTTTGGGCTTCTAATGCTACATTCCTGCCAATTTAATGTAATTTAATTTCACTCACAGTAAAGGGCAGCTGGAATTATTAAATTAAATGCAGAAAAAAAAAGAAAAACGACAAAAATGGGGATACAGTATTTAGTCTTTATGATGGTGATAAATTAGTCTTAAAGGCGCAGAAACAAAAATAGCCCCTTTCATTGTAAAGGTTAAAAGACATTCGAAAATGAAGTAAACATGAATTATGATTGTTTTTGGTACATAAAACAGCACAAAAGTGTAGGGAAAATGTAAAAGTGCAAGAATAATGTATGATATGGGCCTTTTAAATGCATAAGGGACCATCATAATAAAGTGTGAGCCACAGTTCTCCACATAAACCTCATCTCTTGCATGTATGTGTATGATAATAGGTCATGGTCAGTGTGTCTCAGGGGAGTGCTTGTGTCAGCCTGGCTGGACAGGAGAAAACTGTGGCTGCCCGGTGTCCACAGAGAGCTGCTTGTCTGCAGACGGCTTGGTGTGCAGCGGCCAAGGAAAATGTGTGTGCGGCAAGTGTGTGTGTGATGACCCCCGGCATTCTGGAGCGTTCTGTGAGAAATGTCCCACCTGCTCAAACTCCTGTCAGTCACACTGGTAAACAAATTTAACTTTCTTTGATACATTGGTTCACTGGTCATACATTTACTCCTATTCTAACTAAAGCTCTCTCTCTCTTTCTCTCCCTCTCTCCCTCTTTATTGTTCCTCTCATTGCCTTTAGGAGCTGCGTGGCCTGCCACCTGTCTAAAGGCTTTGGACGGGACGATGAGCAGCAATGCAATAAAAGCTGCACCTCGCTGGTGGCATATGTCGATGACATCACTGGTATGTTGATGAGGATGGATCCAGTTCTGAAATCTGATTGGCTGAGTCATGTTTAAGCATGTGCAAGACTAGTGAGGGTCAATGTTAAATGGATCAATTCATTTATAACATGTAAAAGATCCACAGCCATCCTAACACAGGTTTTATTACCCATGTATATGAACCGTACTGCACTCAGAGCTGCTGACCCTTGTTCTGAAGAGAGCTTTTGACCATTGCTGTTGTGCTTTGTGTTGTTCAGAGCTAATCAGAGGGAAGTACTGTTTGTACCACAGCAGAGACCAGTGCTTCTTCAGATTCCACATGGAGCTGGCAACACACGGACCCCAGCTGCACATTAGCAGGCATGCCGGTGAGGCTCGGAGCTCCACACACTGTCCTCTGTCCTCCCACACACATTGTCAAGCCCACAGGCCGCTGACACTGAGCTGCTTTTTCATTCTCTTTCTCTTCATATGCTGCTATATGGGTTATTGTTCAGTTATTAGACCTATTTTTCCTGTACAATACTCAATGAAGCTAATGTTTCTGTTTACAGTATGACTTGGGGGGCAGAAGTGGGACATGAAGGTGATGTGGCCATGATATAATAAGACTTAATGAATGTCAGGTGATCAAAAGTGTGTAAACACAATAGTTTGACACATTTCACGATTCAGCCAAAGCACAAATACATCATGAATCCATTCCAATATCATGGTTACAACCAGAGTCATGTTTATAGTGTTATTTTACAATTTAATGCAAGGATACAGTAGTGAATTTGATTTTACTATCATTTAATTATTATTTAAATGTGTATTTTCAGTAAGTAACAGTGTTTAAGATTGGCTAAACCTTTTTGTACCAGCCATTTCTCTTTATCTGGTCTACAACATTAACCATTTTTTAACATGAAATATATATTTTGTTCATTTGTTTCATACATTCATATGTACAATAAACCATGAAGCAAAAGAAAGATTTCTGCGTAATTAAATTAAGATGTAAACAAAGTCATTCAAAGTGGTTTGGTTGGAAATGCTCAATTCTAGAGAAACTTATTGAGTCAGAATTGTTCTGATGTCCACCTCTAAAAGCTCCTCGCAGAACATCATCAGATGCAGTGGTTATGAAAGAGACATTGTTTGAGATAAGCTTTTGGACTAAAACATATATTTTAAAAGCTTCACTGGCAGAGAGGTACAAGCAAGGTGCTTTGAGGCAAAATAAATCTCAGATATACCACTATTTTATCATGATCAACCTACTTTACTTTTAATTTAAGTCAGTGGAACCAGACTTTTTCCAAGTCATTGATGACACATGTAGGTTCACTGGTGATGCATAAAATGGCTGTATTTGCATTGTACACATCACAACTCATGGTCCTCCTATCACACCCCAATGAACCCTTTCACATCAAACCACTCTGAATAACATCTGAATGACTGAATTATGCAGAAAATTTGACAAATTGGTGGAATTGCCCTTTGAAAAACAATGGTACTGATCAAACATTGTTGTGGTGGTTTTTATATCAGTCATACTTGAAAACGCCATCACAGTTGAGCTGCGTTTAGTCTTGCAAGTGAAACTTCTGACTATGTATGTGTGGGCAGAGCACAGCTGCGTCTGACCAGAACATTTAAACTGAAAAACGACATGGGGCCACTGGGGTGGCCAATCAGATTTCAAGACACTCTTTCAATCTTCCCCTGACTGCGTGGCTGTAGTTGCTCAGTGCTAAATGGGTGACTAAGTGCTGTAAGCAAACTTCTGACACCAAACATGTCTTGGCTGATCAGCTACATCACAGTTTGGGGGAAAGTGTGACAGATTTTTGTTTGAACCGTCACTTTTAAGGAGTTAATTGTTCTAGTTTAGCATCACTTCTTTAGCTGTTATGCTTATTCTTCTTTCTTGGTGTCACTCATGTTCTCTCTTCACCCACAAACTCACTTCTCGCAAATGTCATAGCGACCGCACCCCACACCCCCGGTTTGAGTTTTGGAAACAGTGTAGGCCATTGTGTGCATGTGTGCATCCCTGTTCCCCTCTTCCTCGCTCCCCTTGCCTTCCTCAGCGTCCTTCTCCCTGTCTCCACTGCCAGATCGCCATGGCAACACGCTGAAATGTCAATACAGTACTTTAGCCTCTTTGTACTTGGATTGGTGGCCCGGTGCCAAGCCTACTGGATTTCACAATCGGGAATGTGCAGGGAACAGAGGCTTCAGATCTAAAAAATGGCTGGATCTCACCTTGCTCTGGTTTACAGCTGTATTTAAGGCCTATCCAGCCAGCTTTCATGTCGGCGCTAAGCCCGCGGGGCTTCGCTCTCCAGCTGTTGCTGATGTCTTCACTGAAGCTAATGTAAACATCTGCTTGATTAATGTGTTTGTGAATGGATTTTTTTCAGTTCTGGCGCTCATTTGTCCTTTATTGACTTCAGTTGAATGATTTTATTTGAAACTCATCTGTACCAAGATGGGTCACTGTAACTAAATCATCTCCTTAGTTTCAGATGTGGTATGTTATCCCCAGTACTGTGCAGAGACCACCCTTCATTTGTTTAATTTCCAGTCAAAATGGTTAAGTTATTAATTTTTCGGGAGGTATTTCTGAGGACATTAGATAATACACTTGCATAATGGAGGTGAAAGTTAAAGTGAAAAAAGTGAAAAACTGGAGTTTAAAAGATAAAGAGAAAATGGGACTCTTAACAACCGTGCAAAACCTGGTTGTTGTTGTTGTTGTTGTTGTTGTTATTATTATTATTATTATTATTATTATTATTATTATTAACACTTGTGTGGTGTTGGTGTGTTTGTTACTCAGTGGTCTGGTGGATCCACTGCATTATTGTTTTTTTAATCATTACAGCCATAACGATTTATGTAAAAATACCAGATGTTCAAAATATCACAAGTGTCCAGCGCAGCACCTGTAGCAGCTGTAGCCAGTCAGCAGCCTGTCCATGTTGTCCATCCTCACACACTCGCACACATATACAAACACACACACACACACACACACTAACAGCAGGCCATGTAGGAGGAGAACAGAGTGAAGAGACACAGCACCTCCACACTGTTATTCCCCGAGGGTTCACCCAACACCACGTGTAATAAAAATGTGTGGGGGGTGAACAGTGTGACGTCATTATAAATGTGTTATTTTATGTGTTCTTCACAGAAAATGAGCAAAAGCCAAAGAATCTGAGGTTGAAATAATAATAAATCACATCATTTTTTCTTTTGGTAAACATTGAAAACGGGTCCCACAGACCTGAACATCACACAAGGGTTAACCACCATCAAGTCATTTCTGACTCCTTGCGATCATATAGTGCTTCTCTAGAATATCCTCTCTTCTCTTTGGGTCTTCAAGCATCTGAATGACTTGTTCATGATTCCTCCAGTCCTGCTTCTTAACGGGTACGCACCTTTTAGTTTCTGTTTATCTCATGGGGACAGTTTCGGTGGTCTACCAGGTCTTGTCTACACTGATCAACAAGCCGCAGTCGGGACAGAAAATGGACAAACAGACTGATTCCCCAGTGGCAAAGGAGTTAGCCAAGGCTGCATAATATCATCAGAACATATAATGAGAGAAGCAGGACTGGAGTTACAAAGATACAAAGAAGATGGGACTCTTAACAACCATGCAAAACCTGGTTATTATTATTATTATTATTATTATTATTATTATTATTATTATTATTATTAAGCACCACTAAATAATTTCTGACTCCTGGCAATCGCATGGATAGATTGGGTCTTTAAGCATCTGAATGGCTTGTTCATGATTCCTCCAGTCCTGCTTCTCTCATTATATGTTCTGGTGATAGTATGCAGCCTTGGCTAACTCATTTGCCTCTCTGGAATCAGTCTGTTTGTCCATTTTCTGCGCCCATTGTGGCTTTTTAATCAGTGTAGACAGACCAGGTAGAACACCAAAACTGTCCCCATCAGACAAACAGAAAATAAAGGGTGTGTTATACAACTATACAACAAAGCATTCAGTGAGGCTGAAGCCTAGTCCAGACTTCAGCCTCACTGAATGTGTTTGGGATTACTTGAATCACAAAAAGCAGAAAATTCAACCAGCTTCTAAGACTGAACTTTGGAGGTGTGGAAAAATATTCCTGCAGATTTCTTTGAAAAACTGAAAGTGAGTCATCTGAATACAATGGAAACAAAGACAGAGCGGACATAATAAATACTGAAAAAAATAGACATTTTATTTAGCTGAGGCTTTTTCTTACACTGAAAAATGGATTATTTGTACTTCATTGCTGTTTTGACAGGAAATTAAATAAAACAGTGGTCTCTGACTTTTGCACAGACTGTAATTAAATTTGAGGAGAAAGAAAGAAGGAATTGAAAGGAATAGCTCAGGGGTGCTCAATCCTGGTTCTGGCGATCTACCACCCTGGAGAGTTCAGATCCAGCACACCTGGCTCTAGTGGTCAGATGTCCTTGAAGACCTTCATTACATGGATAAGGTGTGTTAGATTAGGGTTGGAGCTAAACTCTTCAGGGTGGTAGATCTCCAGGACCAGGTTTAAGCACCCCTGGAATAGCTGATCAAAATGCTAACGTGCTAATAACAACTGAGCCTGCTAGATTTCACTTTTGTTTTGCCATGTTAGCGTGTACATTTGATATGACTCTGTTAGGTCTGACTCTGGTTTTGGTTCTCTACATTTCTTCAGAGTGTATGTCGAGCCAGCGGTACTTTAAGACCTTTCTCAGCGTCTTCCTCCTCACTGTGGTGCTGGGCCTGGGCATCCTGGCTGTCATCCGTCTGCTCCTCTGGAACAAAGGCTGGTCACGGAGGGTAAAAGACAGTGAGCAGTATGAAGACAACAATAAGGTAATTTATTCTGTGTATGTATGTGTGAGTGAGTGATGGGAACAGTTAGCATGAGTTCATGTCTGCGGTTTCTTTTAACCCCATAAACTCTGGGATTATTATTCGACTATTAATCTTAAAGGGCTGATATCGTATATCTTTGTTGTATTTACATTTTTTCAACTCATTACATTTGTCTGGTTTTATGCACCAAAACAGTTGTTATTCATTTTTACATGGTCATTTTCCAGCCATAGAATTTAACAGGCTGGTTTTGTTACTGTGCCTTTAAGGCTGATACATGTAAATGATCTCTGTGCTGATTGGCTGCGCTGTATTGGGCATCGTTCAAAAAGTGCACTCCTTCAGCGTGAATGAGCAGGGCTAAACCGCTGTTGGCTGATTAGGCGGACAAATGTAGATGTGGATGTTGTGACATCATAAAAATAAGTAATCCAGAACAGCTGGATTTATGCAGCTTATTTTCACTGTATGGAGTGTCTGGACTGGGGATTGTATAGTATGTTCACATCAAACTCTTTTGTTTCAAAAAAGTTGATATAAAGTTTGGATGTTGATAAATATCCATAAAAAACTCTCACTCTCTGGGCACACTGCCTGTCAAAAGTTTGGGGACACATTGCTTTCTATCTGATGTAGTTTTCAGTATTGCTTTTCAATTAAGTGAAAAAGTATACAAAAATGTTGTATGTTTTGCAGCTATGTGGGAATTTTTTGGGTATGTTTAGCTTCAGCCCTCAGCTCCTTGTTCATCAAAACGTCTTCCTTAGTATGAAATACAGATTTCATCCAATCAATTGTTTTTTTATATAATAATAATTATTATTATTTTCTATGAATAATAACTATTTAAACACTTCAAAGTTGTAACGAAACCGAACCAGTCAGACGCTCATGATAAAAATGAAAAATAAGGCTTTATTGTTGTGGGGTTTGGCTCAACTCAGCATCGGCGAACAGGCAATAGTCAAATCAAGGTCTAAGGTCGAAATACAACAAAGGACAAACATAACCAGGCAACCAGATCCAAAAGGGCAAAGACAAAAAGACAAAGTCAGAGGATCAAAGAAAAGGTCAGAATATCACAAAAGGCTATCAGAAAAATGCTCAGTAGTTCTCACCAGCAGAAACAATACCTCACAAGGAAAGTAGTCTGAAAGCCTGGGCTTTATACTAACTACCTCTAGTTATGTGACATCAAGAACAGGTAAACCAGATTAGTATTGGAGTGAGTGAAAATGATGATTGGAGTGCTGTGGAAGGTCAGTAGGCATGTGATCTCCCAGAGGATTCTGGGAGATGGAGTTCATAGAAGCATTAGAGCCGGAGGGATGTGCGACAAAAATAGCAAGATTTAAACAACTTTCTATGTAATATGTCAATTTTTTTTTTGCAAAACCACAATGAAAACATTTTTTAGAGACATTTTAAAAAGCTGTGTCCCTAAGTGTTTGACAGGCAGCATGTATTTGACACTGCATGCTTTTTGCTCTTAGTTTTATGTATGTGCTTTGTTATCATATCCACTGTATTTTTAACAGAATTCATCATACGCACCCACCGCCAACGAGAAGACGATAACCTACAGACGGGACTGCCTCCCCGAGCTCCCCATGGAGATGCATGTCCACGTTCCCAAGATGCCTCTGAACGACATCTGGCCATGAAAGGATGAATGAGAAGAGAAGGACGAGCGAGAGCAATAAGTGAATTAATGCACATATGTTTTCACAAGCACACTTCATTCTTCTGTGGATGTCGTTTTCTTCTTCTGATAGGGTAATTTAATTTTGGGTTATGTTCTGTTGCATCGGACGGCATTTCAGCTCTTCTCTCCTGCGGCCACTCGGGTGAGAAGAGGAATGATATTATTTACAGGGCTAACATGCTTGGACAGTGGACCATAGTAACGTAAATCCATGCTCAGTAGATATTAGGCATTAAGTCTGGAGAACCTTTCATGTCCATCCTTTTTAATCTTCGCTAATATGGTTCATGTGGGGTAATAGTGTGTTTGGATGGTCCTTATAACAAAATGCACACAACCGAATGGGAACCAGGGGTCATGATGTCTACAACACAAATATAGTAAAGTTGCTAATGTTAAACTGAAATACGTTTTGAATAAATAATATTTGAAAAATTGCATTTTAAGCCAAAAGCTAATGTCACAACTATTGCGATCATATTCATACACCATTCATATATTCATTCATATATTTCATGCAGTAGATTTCTTTGAGGGAGCTTTTAGAGGCATTAATCTCTTTGGACATCTGGTTCCCGTCTCCACCACTGTGAACAATTCAGACTTGGCAAGTTTCTCTACAACAGAGCATTTCACACCAAACCACTCTGAATGACTTTGTCTCAACCATTTAATTATACACGAATTTTGAAAAAATGGTGGACTTCCCCTTGATATAAGCCAGTATCTTAATGATGGAGTTACATAGACATTTTTTTTTAATTGGCAGAAATTCCCTTCAATTTTACAATCATACAATCATGTATTTTTTTGTAAAAATACATTAAATGTGCTGGTGCACTTTGCAACTAGTCAACTTAAGCAAGTTCCATGCGTTTACTTGCGTTTACTTTATCAGCTCTTGGAACACAATCTGTGGCATGCTCGGAAATTCACAAATGTACCAGTTTACGAGGACTGTCCGAACACACCCCAAGCCCTCGGTCAGGAATGCTGAAACAGTGCTGCGGCTGTCCCAGAACTAGCTGACTCTACTAACACAAAGCGCAGTAAACATAGTTTATGCTTTGTCTTGAAGCATGAGTTTGTAGCTTGACCAAAAACCTGGTCAGCCGTTTGCAGCCTCTCCTGACAGCAGCTTTAACCTCTCCAGGTTAGGTTGGTTAAGCGAACTGAAAGTGGACAGTTCACCTCTGCGTCCTGTTCTGTTTGGCCTCTGTGTGGTAGGTGAAGGTACTGTAGTTTTTATTTATGTGCGAGTGTCTGAGTGTTTGGTACGTTTTATTTATGTTTTATTTAGCCTCAGTTTAATGAAATGGAACACTACGTTTTTGTTGAAGAGCCCACACTACTCTGCCGTAGCCATGAAAGACCTCAACTTGGAACCACTCCCTTCTTGCTTGGGATTCTGCTGCCATCTAGTTGCCAGTTTGGGCATGACCTAGAAAAGTTATCCAAGAATTTTTTGCACAGTGCTATGTGAGTCAGAGACCACCCTTGTTTACGTGATATACTGTCAGAACAGCTTTTAAGTTACTTTATAAAAGCAGAAACGCACTAAACTAAAAACAGTATCAACAATTGATGGAAGTTAGTTACACTGCTTCTCATCATCTGAATAATCCCAAATTCAGTGGTGTTGAGGTCTGGACTCTGGGGTGGTCAGTCCTGAGAACACCAGCAGCATCTTTGTTTGAGGTGTCTGTCTCGTTTTCTCAGTGAGGACTTCTTGAACAGCTACACATCCTTTCAGACCCATAGCGCTGAGTTGTCTTCTCACAGTGGAAGGATGGATATGGATTGTTTCAGATCTGAAGCAGCTTGATTTTCTCCTCTCTCTCAAAGATGAAATCTTTCAGTGCTGTTTATCTGATGGGGGTAGTTTTGGTGTCTACCAGGTCTTCCGGGTGGTTGTCAGGAGTCCCATTTTCTCTGTAGCTTTATTAATTTTTTGAGTTTGTTTTGGAAACTCCTATTTTTTTCTAATTTTCATTTAACTTCCTCCTTCTTTATGCAAGTCGATTATCTTATATGATTCAAATCTCTGATCAAATATCTCCTGAATTATGAATAACTTGCTGTACTGTTTGGAAATTAAGTAGATGAAGGGTGGTTTTTGAATTTTGCACTGTACTATATCTTTGGTCTTCAGCAAGCCTCATTCAGCAGAGATTGCCTCAGTTTCCTTATAAACATATGAACTTAAAGTATGAAGTACAATGGGTCATAAATACAGCAGTTACATACTGTAATCTGCCCATCTTAATAATGACGTTTTCACTCTGAGGTGCACTGCCAGAAACTGGAATTTTACTGTGGTTACTCGCACCTGTGTTCCTCTCCTGGGTTACTGTACTTTTTTTTTCTTTGGGTGTAATTTTTGAGAAGCGTGTTGACTGTTTGCCAATGTGAACTACCACGCTAGCTAGCTGCACTTGTGTATGTCAAACTACTGAAATCCAGCAATGGTACTGACCCATTTACTGGAAAGAAGGCGAAGCAGGAGTTGATTCAGAACCGAAGATATGGACTATAGAGACTGTCATTGGCCTGCTTTGTCATATTAGTGGCGCCTCGTAGGCCTGCTGGAGAGTCCAGTCATTCCTGTGGCTTGTAGACCAGTTTTACCACTGTTTACATCAAACATTCTTCCAAACACTAAAAAAGTTTATTTATTTCTTTCTGTTTCTTAGTGTTTCAGTTTGTGTTTTTGCTTTTCTTTGTCGCTGATGGTGGAAGAGGTTTCGTTGCTGTCCTGTAGAATGTTACTGAGAACCCCAGAGGGGCTATTTGATACGCTGTGGTAATAATTGTAGATATAGGCCTTAAGCACTAATTCAGCTCAATGTGGATTTACTGCTGTCTGTGATTATTGTTTTCCATTAAATAATCTACAGAACCAGTGATAATCTTTGGCAGCCAAATCATCGAACAATTGGGCATTACATTCAATAATGGCACTTTTGTTTTTCTGTCAGCATTTGATGTGAAAAGCGATTGTTTTCAATAAAAATCTCAATACTGTCTAATGCCTCTTGTTATCTTTTCCTCATTTATTTGTGTGGTTTTACGTATCAGCAACAATTATAGTTCATTTTCATTAACATATATCATGTCTTATACATATATGTATATATATATATATATATATATATATATATATATATATGTGTGTGTGTGTGTGTGTGTGTGTGTGTGTGTGTGTGTGTGTGTACATGTATACATATATACATGTATAAGTACATGACCTGTACACACATATATATATATATATATATATATATATATATATACATACATATAGAAGAATCAAACTGTTGGAGTGAACGGTACATTCTGAAACTTTAATGATGCTTACATACTACATTAAACTCTTTAATTTCAAAAAAGGGCGGAAAATTCCTTTAAAAATAGCATATGACAATAGCAAGTCTGTCGTTAACACAGAATTTATTGTTTAAATAAGCCATTTAGACTTTCAGCAAATCTGGTTTATGTTAGAAAAACATTTTCATTTATTTACATCTAAGCAATTGTTATTATTATTTCAATGTATTATTATATTGTGAATTAGTGCAAACTTGAACCCAAAGCATCAAACAGAAGCCAAAAAAAAGGCCACCTTATCTGGACAATGGCTTAACTTCCTTGCTTAAGAGCACAATGACTGTAGAATGTTGAGGGATGAAACGTATGATCATGTACATCACAGACTCATGACAGCTGTGTGTGTATATATATATATATACACACACACACACAAACATATATATAAACACATACATCATCTTAACCGCTAATTCTTCTGGGTCACAGTGGGGTGCTGGAGCCTATCCCAGCTGTCGTTGGGCAGAAGGCAGGATACACCCTGGACAGGTCACCAGTCCATTGCAGGGCAGACAGACAGACACATTCACACCTAGGGGCAATTTTAGCATGTCCATTTAGCTTAACTGCATGTTTTTGGACTGTGGGAGGAAACCGGAGTACCCAGAGGAAACCCAAGCAGACAACATGCAAACTCCACACAGAAATGACCGTGGTCGCCCAGCTGGGAATCGAACCCTGGCCATTCTCACTGTGAGGCAAGAGCGCTACCCACTGCGCCACCGTGCTGCCCTTATATATATCTCAACCATTACACAACAATGCTTATTAGCAACCTTCTGGTGCCCAATATAGCCATTTTATTTACCATCAAAAAACACAAGTAAACATACATGTGTCTTCTGAGTTTGATATGTAATGTTGACGATGGTAAAATAATGATTTCTTTGGGGACTATTTTGCCTTTAATGCCCTACATGTACCTCTCTGCTCCAGATGGCTTTTTATGTGTTAGGCCAAAAGTTTCTTTCTCAAGAATCTCAAATCTTAATTTCAAACCCATCACAAAATAACGTCTCAGACATCAGGCAGCGTATTCATAATGTAATTCATTTTGTGTAATATCTTTCTGAAAGAGTGCTATTAAAGCCATTTAACTCTGCAGATGTCTGGTTCCCATCAACACCACTGTGTACAATTTCAGCTCGGTAAGTTTGGAGCGTTTCACATCAGACCACTCTGACTTTGGACTGAGCATTTTTAAATGATAATATGTTTACTTTTATATCATTAATTTCATCCTTTACTCTAAACAAGTGCATTTTTAAGACAAGTAGTTTTGCTTTTGGTTACATTAAGTCCATCATACTTAGTTTTTGGTTTAATTTCTTTCTGGACTATTGTGGTGCTGCCTCTCAGTTTAGCATTAGGCCTATAGTTTTAGCCCAAAGGGATCCCCCAAAGAGATGTACAGAGCCTGCAAAGTTCCACTTCAGTTATATAGAGACCCCAGGGGAGGAGGGGATGGGGGGCTTACGTGACACTGTATTTCTCGCGTTAGCTTTTAGTGGCTTGAGTCATTAATTCACTTTTGCTTCTGTATGGATTTGAACTCTTCATACCTCCGGACTGCTAGGTATTGTGGCCAGATTGCTGCGCCACTAGGGGGCACTAAATGCACATGGAAAGGAAGAGGACGCCTCAGAAAAGTTTGCGTTTTGACTTTTTTCCATCAGTTCCAGCAGACAACTGTCCTCAGTGAGGAAATGGTCCAGCATAAAACTCTAATTTACATAATCTCCCTCTTTACCTCAAATGTAGTCTTCAGCAAAGACATTGTTATTGGTGTATAAATGTTTTTACACTCTTAAAAAAAGATGGTTCTTCTTTTTAGAACCATGAGTTCCATGCTTAAATGATTCTTTGGATGATGAAATTGCTTTTCAGATTGATGGAGAACGTGTTGTGGTTCTATATAGAACCTTTTTGAAAATGGTTCTATATACCACCAAGAAGAGTTCTGCTATTGTTTAAGCTTATGCCAAGCTTCTGACAACAGAAGATCCCTTTTGGTTCTATATAGGACCATTTTCAAAAAGGTTCTATAAAGAACCACAACACAATATCCATGAACTATTTCACCATGCAAAGCATCAAATGGTTCTTTGAGTATTCTTGGTTCTTTACAGGACCATTGTCTTTATTAAAGAACTCTTGAAGAACCCTCCTTTTAAAGACTGTAGTTTTGCATCGGAGCTATGAGGCTAAATTAATAGAAGATTTGATATGATAAACGATCTTATTATATTAAATCTGCATCAGCTACATTAGCCTGGTATAAAACTAAAGAAGCCAACTTCAGACACCGAACACGTCTTTGGCTGATCGACCACTTTTAGAGTCAATCATCAAACGCTTGTGGATGTTTTGGGTTTGTATCGTGTCTTTGTTATATTAAATGAAATATGACAAACAAATTGCATGGGCTGCTTCATAGACTCTTATTTTGAAATTTACTATATTTACGCCTCAAATTAATTTCTGCGTCAGAAGAAAGATCAGCATTATAAAGAAACCTTTGCTTCATTACGACGCATATAGTACGAACTACACGACTATTTCTATGTAAACATGCGGAAAAGTCTTAAAATAAGTTTTTCAGAATAAAACGGTTCAATGTTATGCAGCTATATGGAAGAATTTAATTTATTTTGGTTTAATTAAATTTAATAGATGTTTATTAGCTGAGCTCGTCCTTTGGCCCCTTATATATATATATAACTATATGTGCTAAATATATTTAACGGTACCTTAATATTGAACGATATGCACGCATGTAAATAAAGAAATAAAGTGTATGCAATAGTAAAATTTATGTTAGATATATATATATATATATATATATATATATATATATATATATATATATATACATGTGTGTGTGTGTGTGTGTTATATATATATATATATATATATATATATATATATATATATATATATATATATATATATATATATCGCTGTTTTAGGAAGAAAAACGCGCGGACGTATCTCCATTTTTGTTGTTTTTCAGTTTTTGATATAATTTGAAAGCACTTTGAAAGTTTGTGAGTTGCTCTTTACATTGTGTGTGAATTTCATGATGAATGGACTAAAAGAAGTGACTTGGAAAAATGTCTGGTTCCACTGACTTACATTAAAAGTAAAGTAGATTTTTTCCTTCTCCTGTAAAGTTACTATTTTGGAGATACGAGGTTTTCTTCCGACAACAGCGATAGATAGATAGATAGATAGATAGATAGATAGATAGATAGATAGATATGTGGAAATACATTTCATCTACAGATGTCTTTCAACATATATATATATATATATATATATATATATATATATATATATATATACATATGTTGAAAGACATAGATGTATATGAAGTGTATGCAATAGTAACATTTACGGATTTATTTTATGGAAATATCTCACTCACAAAGTTGACACATATTTTGAAAAATGTATAGAAACACATTTCCTTCAGGAGTCAAAAAATAAAAACAGTTGTGCTCGTAGTCAAACCCAATCTGACTTTATTGTGAGGAATTAAACCTTAAAATCAATAGTCAGTAAATGCAAACACGCATGCGCAATTAAATAAAACCAAAAGATTAAATTAAAAAAAAGAGAGAGGAAAAAAAAAACAATAACAAAAACAATAAAGATTAAGAACCTGATCGAAATGCCTCTATGCTAAAATCATAAATATAAATTCAAAGTGCGACTCTGATAGACTTCAAAGCACAAACTGGTGGATAAATAAAGCGGAGAGAGCGCGAGTATGTACACGTGTTGAGTCCGCCGCGCTCTCACACACAGTCAACTACGTCCATCCACGGAGAGGATTAAACTACAGTACAGGACCACACCGGGAACGACTGGACCCTTTAGAACAGTAAGAGGACGTTGACAGGGCCCACCATCACTTCAGCGTCGTCTGAAAGTGGACTCCCCCTGCTTTTGGGGAACCCGCTGCTCGCGCGCACACAGGGAGAGTAAAGTGCCTCAATAGAACTCAATCAATTAAGACATTTCATGGTAAACTCCGAAATACAGTGTAAACATAAAAACATCATCATCATCATTATTTTAGTGAAGCGTCTTAGGCTGTATGGCTCCGTAGAAGTGGCCACTGCTCAGAGTCTCTGATCCACACTTTTCGTTTCTGAATACACCTGAGACGTACTGGCTAATTTAAAGGGGAACTCCACCCAATTTTGCAAATTTCGTGCATAATTAAATGGCTAAGACGAAGACAAGTCATTCAGAGTGGTTTAGCGTGAAATGCTCTGGTCTAGAGAAACTGAGTCAGAACTGCCCACACCGGTCGTGATAGGAACCAGACGTCCACCTCTAAAAGCTCCCTCATAGAAAGTCCCTACATTGTATGCTTGATGCCTAAGACACTGTTTTCAGATAGTAAAGATTTAGCCTAAAAGGCATATTTTTAAAAGCCGTTCGTGGCGGAGGGATACACTGTGAGGTAAAATAGTCCCCAAAGAAATGAAATCTTTCCGGATTTAATACCCTTTTATCATCACCAACATTAAAAAAACTCACGTGTAGGCTCACTGATGGTTTTGGATAGTAAATAAATAGCTATGTTTGTGTTGTAGTCATGGCGACCCCTGGTTCCCATCAGCACCACTGTAAAGAAAAGTTTCTCCACAGTCCAAAGTACTTTGAATAACTTTGTTTACATCTCAGTGAATTAACTATACAGAAACTTAAAAAAAAATGGTGGAATTGCCCTTTAACGTGAACTTTCTTTCCCTAGTCACGTCACACGTTTCGTACCTTTCCACAGGAACTGACCACAGCCTTTGCTTTAACGCGGAGAGAGTCCCAAACCACTTTTCCTTTGTTCCAGCGCGCAGACAAATCCCCAAAGTTCACTCCACAGCTGGAGACGGACTGTAGGAGCTCGTTTATGTAGGAATGTTACAAATTGTCCCTCTTTCACTGCACAGAGCGGAGTGAACACTCGCCGTGTTGCATTAACACGTACACTGTGGATTCATGAGAACCGGCAGCGCTGAATTCGCTCTGAAAGCGCTGAAAGTGCTGAACTAATATCTACAGCCTTCATAGTCGCCCCAGTTACGAACACGCTGAGTGAATGCAACGCTTTAAGCTTAAAATAATCACTGAAAGTGATAATTCAGGAGTTGATCCAACTCCGTTTGTGTTCATTCGGCACTGTGAGTCATAATTCAACACTGTAAAGGTTTATGCAACTCGTGTTTTGTGTGTTAGTTCAATATTTTGCGCGTCACATTAAAGTGTTTACGTATTAATTCAGCACTGTAAGTCATAATTCAGCACTTTAAGAGTTTATGCAACTCAAATGTTAAGCGTAAAATTAAACATTTTAAATATTATATCAGTACTGTGACTGAACATTCAGGCCTTTAGGTAACTCCGTTTGTATTAATTCAACGTTTTAAGCATAAAATGAAACATTTAAGCATTAACTCAGTGATAATTCAGCACTTTAAGGGTTTGCACAACTCGATTGTTTGTATTTATTAAACATTTTAAAGGTAAATTAAACATTTTAAGTAGTAATTTAGTATCTGAGTGATAGTTCAGCACTTTAAGAGTTTATGCTACCCATTTTGTGGGTTAATTTTAATATTTTAAGCGTAAAATTAAACATTTTAAGGATCAACTCAGCACTGTACGGGATAATAACACTGAGTTTATACAACTGGACTGTTTGTGTTTATTCAACATCTTAAGCGTAAATTAAACATTTTAAGTATTAATTCAGCACTTTAAGAGTTTATACAATTCGACTGTTTGTGTTTATTCAACATTTGAAGCCTAAATTAAACATTTTAAGTATTAATTAAATATCTAAGTGATAATTCAGCACTTTAGGGGCTGTTTATTTAGCATTTTAAGCGTAAATTAAAGGTTTTAAGTATTAATTTAAAACTTTAAAAGACAATTCAGCACTTTAAGAGTTTATACAACTCGACTGTTTGTGTTTATTCAACATTTTAAGTATTAATTCAGTATTTGAGGGATAATTCAGCACGTTAAGAGTTTATGCAACCCATTTTTGTGCGTTAAGTCCAACATTAAACATTTAAAGATTAATAGCACTTTTGTTTGTACAGCTCTGTCTGAGTTAATTTAGCACTTTGAATTGTTGATGCAACACATTAAACGGAAATACTGAACACTTTTAGAGCGAATTCAGCACTTAAAGAATGAATTCAGTCAAGTCCAGCAATCTGAACTGTAGTGAATTTAACACCATTCACTCCGATATTGTCCGTTCAGCACCGCGGGATTCATCAGTGTGGGTTTTGCTGCGCGTCTCCCGGCGCTCGTGTCCGTTTTCCATGTGCAATGTTTCTCTCTCTCTCTCTCTCTCTCTCTCTCTCTCTCTCTCTCTCTCTTTACGCAGTCCTGCTGATGGTGGAGCCGTGGCCGTTCACGGTGCCCGCGTGCTCGGGGCTGCGGCACGCGGGGCTGCCCGGCGCGCTCTGCTCGCTCTCGCTGTCGCTGCCCTTCTTGCACGCGCCGCCCTGAGCTCCGGCCTCGGCGCCGCCCGCGCTGTGCGTCTTCACGTGCTTGCTGAGGTGGTCGCTGCGCATGAAGCGCTTGCCGCACACGGGGCACGCGAAGCGCTTCTCGCCGGTGTGCGTGCGCAGGTGCCGCTGCAGCTCGTCGGAGCGCGTGAAGCGTTTGCCGCAGAACAGCCAGTTGCACACGAAGGGCCGCTCGCCCGTGTGCCAGCGCAGGTGCGCCTTGAGGTGCGACGTCTTGCCGTAGACTTTGCCACAGCCCGGGATGTGGCAGCTGTGCAGGCCCTTGCGGCGCAGGCTCGCGCCTGCCGGCCCCAGCCGCTCGGCCTCCTGGCAGTTAGGGCAGTCGCACGTGGCCCGGCCCGAGTAGCGGCGCGCGGACGAGCGCGGCGAACCGGCCAGCGGGAGCGCGGGCGACGCGCTCGCGGCAGCGGCGCTCGTGTCTGGGTACGAGGCCGGAAGCACAGTTTTGAATCCGTCCATCACGTGCTGCCCGCCGGCCAGAAGGTGCGGCGGCGGCGACGGGCCGGTGCCGAATGCCGCGTGACCCAAGGCCGTGTAGTCCGAGCCGTAGGCGCCCAGCGGCGAATGGTGCAGCGACGTCTGGAGCGCCGAGGCGGCGCCGCTCGCGCCCTGCACGTCGATCCACGTCGCCGGACCCACGTCCCACCACGCCGCCGCTCCGGCCGCGCTCGCTCCAGCGCACGCGCCGCCGACCGCGTCCCCCATCTGCGCCGACTTGAACCAAGAGTCGTACGGGTGCGCCACGCTCATGCGCGGGTAGATCCCCTGCAGGCCGTCCACAGGCGCGTGCACCTTGGAGAGGTGGAAGGCGGGTTCCGGCGAGCTCGCGCTCGAAGACACTGACGACGTCTGGAACGCCGAGTAGTCGTTGGCGAAGGGGCTCGCCGACGCGCCTCCGACGACGCCGCCGGTGCTCGCGGTCAGGGAGAAGGCGCTGGACGCGGCGGGAGAGCCGCTCGCGATGAACGGCGACGAGGAGGAGGAGGAAGAGGAGTCCGCGCGCACCAAGCCAGCCGCGAGGCCGACGCCTCCAGCACCGCAGCCGCCTCCAGCGCCGCTGCGTCTCCACGGATGGAAGCCTTTGGCGAACGCCGTGCCGTCCGAGAGCGCCGGCGAGGGGCTCGCGCTCCCGATTTTGTTACAGGTGGCGGCCAGCATGGCTAGAGGAGTGGATCCAAACTTTGGCTCTTCCTGGAGGGAAGGCAGGAGAAAACGAGTGTCACTTGTGTTAGTATCGTTTATTTTCCTAAGGAACTCGTTGGGATAAGAGCAGAAGTCGCTTCTTCCTTAAATGATAAACGTCTTCGCTTCCAACTTTTTAACATGCACAGCCTCGTCTAAACCCTTCAAGCAGAGCGAAGTAAACAACTCTCACTCACCCCTAGAAGTGAAGTTGCCATCCCAGACGTGTCCGCGTTTGAGAATAGCTTTGCATTTATGAGTTAACTCGCCTGTTTTTCAGCTCTACACGCTGCACTGATGTTTGCCGCCCACCTCGCCACAGTTGTAGCTCCACTCTGGCTTTGAAGTTCCGCAGGCTCAGGCTTGGCCAATCACGTTCGCCGGAGCTCCCTGGGGTTAGATTCCGCCGTGACGTCATCACCCGGGAGGTCCGTTGGAGCCAATCAGATTCGCCCAAGCTGCTACTCGTGAGGTCATCACCCACAGGCTGTGGCTCAACCAATCAGATTGAACGAAACTTCCTCTCCGTCTTGAAGTCCCCACTTCTCAGGATCGCTCTTAACCAATAAAGTCTACTGTGACGCCATCGTCCGCGGACCAACCGGATCGGTCGGAACTACTTTCTACTGTGACGTAACGCAGATAGGCTACAGGTGGGAGGGGCTGAACTCTTCATCACTTTCCTGACGGGGATGCCCGCCTGTGAAGACCCCTCACAGCTGTTATAACGCACGATTAATGCGTGAATAGATCAAAGCTGATATTCCAGTGAGATGTCTTTTGTGTTCTGTTGCGACACTAATGCAGGGATTCCTCTCAGACTGAGTGATTATGAGCCCAGTCGTCTGCTAAAGATGCTAAAATGCCCTTCGCAGAGGCTGGCAGCTCCTCTGCTTTTCCACATCCGTTTTTTTTTTTTTTTTGCGCCAGTGCTCATGCGGACATAAATGTTTGCGGGCAGAGTGTACACTGGGGCAGAGAAGTGAGGGCCCGTGTGTCGCGAGGGCGTGGTAGACCAGCCCAAGGGGCGGAAGTGGGTGTGCACGTGCTGGGACAAGCGCTTCACAAATAAAGAAGGAATTAACTTCATCCTCACTGCCCCTCTGCTTTCACTTCATTCACAGCAGCAAAGGTGACCGCTGTCCATTTGCCATTCTTTTACAGGACTCTTTGGCCAGAGACCTTGTGGGAAGCAATGCCTTGTTTATTTATGTATTATTTATGTTTGTTTTAAAGCTATTGAGCAATAAATGGACCTTATTTGACTTGCGAGCCTATGCCTATTATTATTATTATTATTATTATTATTATTATTATTATAATGTCATGTATTTATTACTGTGTTATTTATCTAATGCTTTCATGTAGTTGTGACGTCTGAATTGTCTGTTTCAATATATTTCCAATATATATTTTCATATATAATATAGTGTATATAATATAATTATATATACAAATTATATATATATATATATATATATATATATATATATATATATATTCTTTACACTGATGAATGACAACTGACTGATGAATCTCTCTCTCCTCGCGCGCATTAGCATGCTGTGCACGCGCACGCAGTACATTTCATTTGAAATTCAGATTTAATAAAGTGGGGGACTTTTAATCGCGCCTAGTTTTTATTTGTCTGATGTGGCGCGCGCGGTGCTGTTCGCAGGACGGAGGAGGAGGCGAAGTTAAAGCGAACGAGAAAGCGCGCTCCCGCGTCCCGCTGCTGGAGTCAGCGCGCGAGAATACATCGTCACATCTTTATCGGATGGCGCTCCAGCTTTTTTAGGCCTGACAACGTTTCACAGTAGTTTGTATCGTCAGAACCCAAACGAGCTTCTGGGCTTTTATTAATAATACTAGCTGCTAATGATGCACTGAAAATGCGGAATACTTCTGTATTGAATTGTTTATGGTGAAAGGGCAGTGAGGGTCATCTGTCTCAGCCCTGCTCTGTAGGGGTCAGGCCTGCAGGACTCTGCAGCTACAGGTTGAATAGTGTTGTATGTTTCTGTGTCTTAGTGTTGAATGCTGTGTGGCCATTGACGCCGCTGGCAACTTCATTTCTGCTCTTAATCGAGCCGCGTGCGTTTGATTGCATGACTTTCAGATGAGGTGAAACTTTGATCTTTTCGGATTTGAGCTGAAGCTTCCCTTCACTGGTTTACATGCCTGTTAAAGTGAGTTCAGTCTCTGTAAATAAACAGAGTCTCAGCCTCTCTCAGACTCTCAGTCTCTGCTCCACAGGTCTGTGCGCTCCTCACAGCAGATGGTCTTCTTTTCACGCGCTCCTTTCCCACACGTATGCTGTGTGTGTGTGTGTGTGCGTGTGTGTGTGCGTGTGTGTGTGTGTGTGTGTGTGTGTGAAATCCCGTTTCAAACCTGTTCCATTGACCTCCATAATAAGCGCATTAACGCGGACCAGCGGACACGGACAAAGCGCACCGGGCATCGCGTGCAGCTCCGCGCTCACCCGCGCACACCAGCAACAGCACAGCTACCCCGCGCGCCTCTGCTGCCGTGACTTGTTGTTTTCAGGTTATTATTTATAATATAATTTTAAAAATAAATCAGAAACAATTGTTTTTCAGCTACACCTTAAAATTAGTCAAACACATTTAAATACATGCAGTTAAAAACATTCTATTTTTACCTATTTGTTTATTTTTATTTTTTTATTAATTTGTTTATACATCTGAAGCAATTCCATGTTTATTTATTTATTTATTTATTTATTATTTATATTTATATGCATACTTTTGCCTAAAAAACATATATATCATAAATATTTCTCTCAAACCTCGCACGTTGTTTTGTCTATTTATTTATTTATTTATTTATTTATTGTTTGTCTGTTTTGTTTGTCTTTTAATACATCTCAACCAAACGCGATGGTATTTTTTTAAACTCCTTCCATGCGCGCTCTGTGAAGGCACTTGTAGCTGCTCCATCACGCGCAGCCGTGCAATTAGCTGCCCGTCATAAAGAAATTAGCCGAGGCGATGTTGCGTGAAATGGTGAAAAATAGTGAAATCTGTGAAATGGCGGGGTGCGAATACAATATCACACGCAGCCCCTTCAGCAGAAAGGGGCTCATGGAGCCTGTGAGCGGCAGACAGCACATGCCACTGCTTACACTCTCCATGAGCGCGTTAGTCGTGATTCTCGTGTATTAAACTTTTTCTTTTATTCACTCTCGCATTTCTTTAATTGCGGAAATTGTTCTCGAGGAGCTGAACGCGGTTGTTGGAGGTCTCGCGCGGAGCCCGTGAGAGTGCAGCGCTCTGCTGACACTGTGTTCACTCCAGCTGAAAAGCCTGACCGAAGAAACCTGTGAGCATTCCTGCTCATCTGACCAGCATCAGAGTGTGAGCTTTTAAAGGCGAACTCAAACTAAAGCTTATTTAACGCTAGACGTTTTACCCGATTTACCTTCTCAGTTCATCTCCCTCGACTTATTAACCCGAATCATCGTCATTCAAAAGACAACATTCCTGCTTTCTCATTAAAATGTTATGACTCGCACCCGCCTCTTAAACGCCTTCTGACTTTTGATTACGTCACCGTGCACCAGCGGGCAGGGAAAAGTAATATTAATGCATAATGACCCTCATTGAAATGATTAAGTCCCATTTATAGAAACTATAAGTGGCTTTTAAACGTTGTGTATAGTAAACAATGTTAATTGTTATTGTTATTATTATTATTTAAAAAATGCATTGTTACCTCTGTTTTACTAATATATATATATATATATATATATATATATATATATATATATATATATATATGGGCTTTAATGTCTGATGTAAAAAATTCTAATATATCCTAATTTATTTACCTATATATATATATATATGAACATAAATATAGATACTTCATGTTTGTATATATATATATTAGATACCCAAACATATGTATATCTAATATATATTAGATTTACATATGTCTATGTATTTACATATATTTATATAAACATAAAGTTCCTATATATATATATATATATATATATATATATATATATATATATAAAAGTAAAAGTTTGGGCATCCCCTGGTAAAATTATATGTAACATATTTTGTTGATTGTTGATTTACTAATGTAAAATTACTGTTTATTTGCCAAAAATAAATAAATAAATAAAAGAAAAAGAAAATCAACAAAATCTGTCGTTCAGCTGGGGTATTAAAACTTTTACACATAATCAGATATAATGGGATGAGCTCTTAATGTGATTTATTGCTGATGATCCTCGACATGTAGTGTCAGAATTGACAGCAGTGATGCACCAACTTGATTTTTCCTTAAGAGACTCCAGGAGAACAGGGAGAGTTAAAAAGAAATAGTTTTATTATGATAGAAAAAAAATAACAAAACAACAATTTTGGTGAAAGCAGGTTTAAAGAGCAGATAAATGTCAACAAGTACAATTATATGTATGTAGTTATTTGAATTCTCCACTCTCTCATATGTTAGAAATGTCATAGTTATGTTCGGGCAGAAACGCTGCACTTGTATGTTAGAGCTTTTCATTAGAAACAAATAGTTACCTCTCAAATATGGGATGTGATTATATTGTATATGAAACATGCATTACTGTGTAGAAAAGACACTAACATTCAAAATAAATGAGTAAACAATCAGTTGTGATTTAATGTGTGATTGTTTAAGCTTAACAGTTTCCAAAGCTCACCTAGAAGAAGTCCCTTATTTACAGTGAACATCCAGTACCTAGTTTATCTAATTAGTCCTTCATTACATTAATTCAGATGATGATGTAATAAATCCATGCAATGGCTGGAGAGCAGCGAGACGTCAGGAACCAAACCTGCGTTCTGTAAACTGTATTCAACCAATGTATTAATAACTTTACTAAAAACAAATCAAACTTGTTCTGTTTTGCCTTATTTATGTTTATTTATAATTACTCTACTGTTGTATAGTGTTTTACAGGCAAACACACACAATTACTGACAATATCAATAGAATTTTTGGTTGCACAGTATTGTACATTTAGTTTTTTGAAGACATTTTCATAATATTTTACTTCATACTGTACTGTGCAAAAGTCAGAGACCACCCCTTTATTTATTACATTTCTAATCAAAACAGCCAAAAATACAAATTATTCATTTTGAGTTTCAGGAAGTAGAAACATATTTAACAACTAAATATAATAGCAGTATTTAGTGTGTCCACTCTTTACCTTCATTACAGCTTCCATTCTTTTAAGGAGATTTTCTCTTTTTTTTATTTCAAAGAAATCTGCAGGGATATTTTACACCTCCAAAGTTCAGTCTTAGACGTGGG